AGACTGAAAGGAAGCTTACCTATGTTGATTCAAAAATCAGCTGGCAGCAGCCTTCAGACACTTAGCCAGTCTTTCCTCCTGTTCCAGCTTCCTTTTTCCCTCTACATCACTGGCAGATTTCCAAGGGCAACTAGCTCCTCTTGTTTCTATCCTGAAGTTCACCCACAAGTCAGGAAAAGTTTATAAAGCCTTGCAGTTAAGATTTATCACCAGAGGATTAGTCTGTGCAGCTCTGAACCCATGACATTATTTTCTGTTTAGGTCATTAGTCTAAACCCCTGTCTGTTTACTGGTTGCTTTTTCAAATATTTATTCTTTTTGATTCCTACACTCTCCATGGCCTCCTGTCTCGAACTGTTGAAATTAATAGTTCCTAATAGTAAATACAGAAAAATATCTTCAGGCAAATTTTTAGGCACTTGAATCAATCCATTTTAACTCCATGACTCTGTGAGATGAGTCTCAGATACCCTCTGTTCCCACCTCCTTCCACAAACCCTCAGGCAGCTAAATGTCATCAGTACACTCGGAGATCCGGATCCCTACGTGTTATATGAGCCACACTACTTCTCCACTCCTTCTGGACACACCCCACTTCTGTCACCTGTACTCTGTTCCACTGCTCCAAATCCATGTTTTCAAAGGCAGCCAGGACTACATATTGGTGTCATATGCTGGAGTAATACCATGGAAATGTTATATGTCTCTAATACCAAATAATATCAAAAATATTAAACATCAATGTGATAATCTCAGTATTAGCCTAGCACTTTTCTGCACAGCCTGATTTGGACTGATCTATAAGGAAAGCTCTTAGGGACTTTTACTCCATAATCTGCAGGATTCCATCCATCTACACTGATAGTTATAGTACTTCTGCTATAAAAATCATTGCAGCCTGCTTCACAAGTATCTGCACCTGTCCTGGCTCGTCTGCTGCCATCATTTTAGCCTCGTGTTGTTTCTCCTTCCCGCAGCTCCACAGATGCCACAGTACATATCTGTCCCCTTGTGGCCATATGCCTTACACAGCCTTGCTACTTCGTAGGATCCTTTAAGCTGACCAAAACCTTTCAGCTCTTTCTCCCACCCACACAAGCACGACTGTCCCTGCCCCAGCAGCTCCAGAAAACTGCTTAAAAGGGGTAGGAAGCATCTAAAAGGCACTGCAAGCTTACACGAGGGATTCAACTGTATCTTGATGTCAGCAGAGTGCCACACAAGGTGCAAAGGTCCCACCACACTCTGGCTAGAGATAAAGTGCAGGCGGATGCTGACAGGTCTGAGGGATGGAAAGTGGCAGCAGAGCAAAAGTGTGGACAGATTTCTCCAGCAAACTTACACAACCCAGTTGACGCTGGAGCTTTGTGCATAAACGGAGGCACAGATGTGAAACTTTGCTGGATGAAGAACTGGGCTGACCACAGATACTTTGCTGCAGGCAAGTGATCTGTGAAAGATCCAGGTGAGAAAGATACTGTGAATGACAACAAATCCAATGCAGCGTGAAGAGTCCAAGAAAAACAATGTCTTCAGATGAAGGTCTGAGAGTTGTTGCCAGTCGTGTTTTTCTGCTAGTCCTTTGGGACGCCTGTTGGTCTCTGACCTCCTCTAAGGGCAAGAAGTCAGCCAGAGTGGCTGACCATATCAATTCATACTGGTTCTTTATAACTCATACTGCACATTTTTACATCGTTAATGCAGTATGAAAGGTACACAGAGGAAACACTTTGAAATACTCAGTGAAATAGTGCTAGAAATACTCTTACTGTTCCTTACTTCACGCCAGCTTAGGCCCAAGCCATCAACCAAAGCAGTTTTCAGGCTGTGGACACTCCCTGTTGGGACCAGAGGTGCCTCTTGGGTGTGCCCAGATTTCCATCCCCATGTGCAAGGCTCCCCTAATGCCCTGCTGTAGCCCCCAGAGCTGCTGCAGCCGCGCTCTTCCTCACAGTACAAAACCATCACCAGCGGGGGGAAAGGGCTGAGTCAGCTCTGCAGGCATGTGGCTGCCAGCCCTGGGGAAGGTCTTCCAGCATTCCACGGGTACCATCGCGTGTTTGTTTTGTAATCAGAGCTCCCAGCGTTTTGTGGGCAAGATTTTTTTTTTTTTTCAGATTAAATTGCATCCACTGGCCTATTTAAAAACAGTATTATTAGAAACTTGAATGTTTTGTTTATAACCAAGCTCATCCTCTCCACCCAACATACTAACATTCCTAAAAAAAAAAAAAAAAAAAAGCCCAAATCATTTCATAAAAGCACCAATTTATAAGAAAAATTATGAAAGGTACACATAACCTGGGGCCAAAATCTATCCAGCTCCCAGCTTCCTGCCCTCCAGTCCCATTCCCAGCATTACCAGAAGCCATCTGATACTTGGTCTCTCTATCTGGGACCTGTTTGGAGCCCACTGGCTCACATTTTGCAATCTTGTGTTGTTTCTCCTGCTTATCCAAAAGTTTAAGTAGTCACAGAGGAAAAAATGAAATAACATAACTGTTTTATTTGTTCTCCTCTGAAAATAAGTGTTCTTCATTGTCTCAAGAGTCATTTGCTGACTATAAAACTGACCGAAAAGTAAACTTTTTTGTTCAAACGCATTTTTGTGTTTTGTAGATTTTTCTTTTCTCAGTTATCCCTCACTAATTATGAGTGCAATCTAATAAACTCATCCTCCTTCCAGATAAAAAGAAGTGTTGCCATAGAGAATTTTTACTTGTTTTGACAAAAAAAAAAAAAATCTGAAGTCTTCCATTTGAAAAGGATTATCCTTGAACATTCTTTCCAGTTTCTGTTCTGGCAAGCTATCATTTTTTAGCTTCCACATTAACTAATTTTGTTTTGCATGCTTCAGTGATATCAGAAATCCCTTCTCTCTAATTTCCTAGAGAGTTTAACTTAATTTTGTTTCATTCCTTGCCCTTTTTCATTTAGATGGTCAAAAGTCAGAGTCTGTAGTCTTACAAAATACTTCTATTTCACAGGAAAAATTTGGGAGAATACATCACTTTTTCTCTCTAAATGTACCTGATTCCTCACCTGCTGTTTTTTTTAAATTAACATCTACTATGACCTGGCTTATTCATATTTCCCCTCTCCTGCACCATCATAATGTGTAAAATAATCCAGTAACAGAACAGCTGTAGGAAATTGTAGATGATGGACATCCACAGAAAATGTGAAAAAGCAAGAAAACTGCTTTATAGAATGATAAACTACAGAGCAACAGAAGTCAAAGAGTAATTTAATGTGATATCTGCCTTAATGCATCTTAATTCTAATTTAGCAAAGTACATTGAATATTTTTGCACTTAATTTCTTTGAGGAATCCTGGTTCTACTACATTAATATTCTGATGCTTGGTTCTGCTGTGTTGCAAATAGTCTATTATCAATAATACAATGCATAGGCAAAAAATTCAGTTCCACGTACTTCAATAAACTCTTAACACTAACACTCATTTTTCTATCTCCTTTGTGATTTTATTACTACAGTGTTTATAACATGTATGTAATTTCACTTTAATATCTACAATTGCAACATTTTAATTTGTTGAGTTTTGCCTTACCACTTAGCAAAGTTATTTTCAGTGGAGCTGGTTCAGCTGTTATTTGGAGAGAAAAAAAAGGAGTACTGTAGCTGTACTGTTCTGTGAGTTAACACATTGCACTTCTTTAGATTATTTACATTATTTTAGTATGTATTCTGATCAAGGATCATTTACCACAATAAAAGAGTAATTATGAACAGACAGCAAACTCTTAATTGCACACCTTTTATTAATATAGACAAACCTAGTGAAAATAACACAGGGGAAGAAGGCATGTGCCTGCTGACACAACCCGGATATACACTTGCAACGCCTGTCTTGTGTTGAACACATCTTGGTTTAAAAAAGAAAACATTTGAAACAAATGTTGAAAGCATTCATAAGCCTCTTCTATTTTTTCTCCCAGAAGAAAGATTTATTTCAATGCTGTATGAAACAAGCCTTAAAAAAAATTGAGAGTCAGTTTTTTCAAGGCTTACTTAAATTATATAAGCTTACTTAAATTATATAAAAATCACCAGAACTTTGTTCAAAACAAATTGCTTCTTATTTATTTATTTGCTTTGGCTAAATGGAAAAATATGGCAGTACTCTTCCAAAAGTAAAGCAAATACAGGGAATATTAGTTGTCAGGTCGTAATCCTTTGTGAACACGGTGATTATTAGTACTTCAGAAAATGTACTACAGCAGATCTACTGTGCTAAAAAGAGAAAAAAAAAAGGCATTAGAAAACCTTTATTCTTTCTTCTGGCTTAATATGCAAGCCACTAATCAAGCATTGCTGTGAACTTCATGTGAAAATCTGCCTCCTTTTAAATAATTTAGAGAACCATTCTGGTGGTGGCTTCTGTGGGTCTGGAACTTCACTGCTGGTGCCAGGGTTGGTCACAGGGTGGCAGGGGACAGGACTAATGAGCCTGACAGGAGACTTCAAGTCTCCTGGCAGACATCAGGAAATCATTTCACAATGCAAACTTACTTTGTAATTGCCACTCTCAGAGACTACTTTTTAATGTTATGAATGTATTGTCTGGGTTGAGTGGACCTAAATTTGTAATGCAATTTACTTAACTTTCAAAATGTGGTAAATCATGTTTCATATTATATTTATAAAATGTGGATGAAGAAGATGGGTTTTGTTCTTTAGTAATAAATCAAAGAGAAGTGTCTATAAAACAAACAAAATACAAAGTAAAACTACTTGTATTATCTCACAAAGAATTAGAAAATTATTGCATCCTTTTTCACCCTCTAAATCCCCAAGCAACTTATCATGCCTAAAAATTACATTTTATCCAGCCTGGAACACTTCTAAGGATGGAGCATCCACAACTTCTCTGTGCAACCTGTGCCTCACTACCCACACAAGAAATAATTTTTTTTCTATAGATATCTAATCTCAACCAGCTCTCTTCCAGTTTGAAATCATCCCCCCCAAAACAATGTTACATTATAAAACAAAAAATTAAGCTGATTTTAATCCAGTTAGCCAGAGGAGAGTAAGAATTTATGCAAGAAATATTTCTGTCTTCTCAAGTGACTGATTTTACAGTCATTTGTAAAATGCTTGAGAATAAAAAAGCTTGATTGTTTATTTTTTATTTTACAGCAAGTCACTGAGAAACAATTCTTCAGAAGCAAATTAAATAAAAACATGTTTTGAGTCCTCAGCCAGATATCGAAATTACCACTCTTACTCAAAAAAGTGTAATTCTTCTTAAAATAGTGTGTTCAGTTTTACTGGGGGGGTCATCGTTTGCTGAGATACTGTGGAAAGCCCATAAATGGTCAGACACAATTATGTAAATTGTCTTTACTGTTCTACACAACCATACAGAACTTATAATGGGAAAACTAAAACCACATAATGAAGTTTGAATGTGCTATTAAAACAGATTTATTGTCCACATTTCTTTTTAAAAATACATGAAGTTTAACAACACTCAGAAAGCAGTTTTTATGACTAAGAGGTAGTTTTGTACACCTCATCATCATCAGTTCTCTGAAAATAAACACTTAAGTAGTTCAACTATTTTCTGTAGTGAACAAGAATTCTAAAATAATTTTTCATTAACTCAGAAGAATTGCCACTGTGGATTAATTACCCAAGGAATACAGCAGCTGGAAGCAAAATTTTCAAGACATCATGACCAAGGCCAACACTCAGTTTTACCAAATATATCTATATGAGGCACGTGATGGGACCCTGTGAGAAAGCCTTTGCTGCAAAAATGTAATTTTTTGTTTTGCCATACGAGCAGACAAAAGAAACCAACAGAAGAAAAAAAAAAACCCTCTTGTTCCAAAATTGAGATAATCCTCTAACTTGCAGACAATTATCTAAAGCCCTTAAGTGTAAAAATGCCGAGATGTTCCCAGGTGGCAAGAAGAACATCAGCAGGACAACCCCTACTTGATTTCAGCCTTGTCAACTAGAGGTAAAACACAAGGAATGCCACTGAAGCAGACATCCAGTAACTTCTCAAAACTGTGAACTGACCTTGGTGACCCATGACTTCAATGCCTCTGCACTGAAACTCGAGGGCTTCATTGATGTGTTTCCCATCATTTTCATAATTGAAGTATTAAGCTGCCCAGGGATTTTCTGTTTGCCATCTCCAGGCTGCTGGATTTACTCTACCCATTCCTATCAGTCTCTCTGTTGAAGTTCTAAAAATCAGCCCTAGTTGGTGTCTCTAGGGTAGGGAACAGAAACAGAGATGTTTTCTGTGGAGGTCCAGCAGGCAAGGAAGCAAACAGAAAATTTCACTTTGTTCCATCTCCATTCAGTGAAGAAGCTGGACGTTCCTTTGCTGCTCCTCTGGGGTCCTTGCCATGTCTTTGAGGCAGACACAGGGGAAGAAATGGTGCTGATGGGAGTGAATCAGCCCGTCAAGGCGTGTAATGATTTCATAGTCAGGAAGAGCCAGGCTGGCAGTGTCGAGGCCCAGCATCCGCGAGACCACCTCTCGGAAATCTGCCAGCTGCGGGAGCAAACACAAGGGAATAAATTAAATAGGAAGCAAAGAAGATGTCAGGGAAAGCATGTACATATAGGCACACATACAAACACAAGCACTTGTATTTATCAGTGCTAAATATAGGCATATCAGCTGTTGCTCAGTACAGAGAGCAGAAGAGGACACAAACAGCCCTTTGGGACATACATCAAATCACAAAACACAAACAGCTGAGATGTCAAGGATCGCAAACACAAAACACAGTTTTCAAGTGTTTCTTTAGTATCTCTCACAGGCATATCTTCTCTGCTGACTCAACCCAAAAACTGAGGAAAATACACTTTTACTTGACCCAGATACAAACTGGAAACTCTGGTGGGCACTTCCCAGAGCAGAGCTTGTTCCTTCTCCTTGATCACTATCTACCACGCTCCCCTCCAGCCTTCACTTTCTTGAGAAAAAAAAAGGAGGAAGTTAGAAGAAAGGTGGAAGTTCTTGGCACATCCTGCAGTCTGACTTTGATTTGAATCAGGATACAGCCCAAATTCAAGACGCAGCTTAAGAAATTGCTTGTTTTTCTTCTGTGCATAGCTGCTGAAAATGTCATAGGAATAGTATTTGGTAAAGTAATTAGTTAAAGACATCAGCTTTCTCTCTGCTGCTCCAAATGGACAGATATCCACAAGTAGTTGTCATCACTGCTGATTTACTCTTCTTAACTCAGAATATGTATCATTATCAGTCAAAGTTCAAAGCTTCTTGAAGAGGCAATAACATACACAGCCAAAATGACAAATGCCTTAATACCCCTTTATCATCAACACATAAAAAGAGGAAAACTTTACTATCTGAGGAAGTATTATTTTCTTGCTCTCTATTTGAATGCTGAGATCCCCATTCCCAAGCATGAAAGAGACTCAAAATGCCACAAAAATCATCAAAACCACCAAGAAACTGGATTCATGTTCTGATGTGGCAGCATCCTCACTCCACCGATACTGCCAAGGGCTAAGGATAAGGAGGAGACAGACAGTCCTGACATGTCTCCAACCAACCCCAAGAACACTGCACAGAATTCTAAAGCAGCTAAGTCTGTGAGTAAAGGGGTTTGCAGCTTTCCTGAAAACAAGGTCTCAGTTGCCAAGACTTTGCAAAAGGCAGTTTGTTTCAAACCCTGAGGAGCTGCCATCAGCTCAGAAACACAAATATATGGAAACCAATAAAGAACAGAGCTGAGGTCTGGAGTCCTCAGCACATGACAGACATGCACCTGTTAGAACAGTCCCAAGGAGAGCTACAGAGATGATAAGAGGGTTAAAGAACTTCTGTGAAGTCAGGCTGAGAGAGCTAGGGTTGTTCATCCTGGAGAAGAGCAGCTTCCAGGGAAACCTTATAACAGCCTCACAGTACTTAAAGGGGGCTTTCCAAAAATAAAACAGGAAGAACAACACTTCACACAGGCATATAGTGATAGGAAAAGGGAGAAGGGTTTTTAATTAGAAGAGGAGAGATTTAGATTAGATATTAGGAAGAAATTTTTTACTGGGAGGGTGGTGAGACACTGGAACAGGTTTGCCCAGGGAACTTGTGCTGTCCCATTCCTGGAAGTGTTCAAGGCCAGGCTGAATGGAGATTTGAACAATCTGGTCTAGTGGAAGGTGTCCCTACCCACAGCAGGCGTGCTGGAAACTAGATTATCTTTAAGGTCACTTCCAACCCAACCCATTCCATGATTCTGGGATTTGAGAATTCAGTCCCAGCTATCTGTATTACCAAGGCAGTGTGATGTCTTGGATCAAACATTGGAACAAACATCTTGTTACACCAAAACCCCAAAGTTCCCATGCATTATCTTCTACACTAGTTCAGGAGGTCACAGATGCAGGGCTCTGGAAGGGTGCTAGACAAGCCCTATTTAGCAGAAGCTGAAGAGTTTTTCTTTTAAAATCTGGATCACAAACAGGATAAGGAGGCAGCAAAGCTAGAATTTGTTTCCATACAGACTTTACATTGAAAGCTCAAGGCAGCCCTCTGCAAAGATACAGGCTTTGGATGAAGTAGAGAAATAATGAAGGATAAACATCATTAAAGACTCAAACACGAAAGTATGCTGCAAACAACAACACTCCTGCTAAATTTTCTTTGTACCTTCCATTCAGTGAGTAAAATTATCAGAAATAAAATCCAACAAATTAATGCAACTTAGAGCATTAACCCAAGATATTGGGGTTTGAGGATGTAAAAAGCAGACACTATATTTTATTTTCACTCTGTAACGACAGGAAATTAGAAGGCGTCTTATTCCAACAGAAACAAAACAAAAATAAAAGTCCAAAGAATATTGAAACAATATCTAAGTGGTTTGAAACCCCTTGCATTCAGATAGTAAAAAGTCAACGTTTGTGTGCTTCTAGCAAAAACTCAATGTATGACTCCATGGAATAAGTTCCTGCATATAATTAATATCTTCTTCTCTGTGTCAGATGCTTTGTTTCCTCATGAGATGTATGAAGAAATTAAATCTTCCTGCCAAATTTCTAACCTTCATTATAAAACAAAACAGTGCTAAAGGTTTCCAGGAAAAAAAGATTCCCAGGTTGTTTGACTTCTCTGCATGTAAACAAAATATTTTTCTAGACTAATTCCTGAAATAGCATTCTTAAATTTAATCCAGAGTCATTGTTAAGGCAAACATATACCATAAAATTTTTAGCTGGGAACTCTAATATAAAGTTCTAGGCAGCTGAAATAAATTTAAAATTACAATTTTTTTACTTTAAAGAAACATCTCATTTGCTTTCAACAATTATGCCATCTATAACATTGCTAAAAAACACATCATGCAGGGCAATAACATACATACTTCACAAATTTTTTTTCAATTAGGATGGAACACATTTACTAACGTGTTTCCCACAAACTACTTATACCCTCCTTGTGAGTTACCACAGAAATTTTTCTGATCTAAACTTAAACAAAGTTTTATGTCACAAATTGATCCAAAATAATTCCATTCAATATTAAATTGGGGGGTGGGGGGGTTGGGGGGCTGTTCCTTGTATGCTCCAACATTCTTTGAATTTATGGCCTATACAGAGTAACACTGGCTCATTAAATCATTTAGGTTGACAAAACCCTTTAAGATTATCAAATCCAACTCCTAACCTGCATTGCAAAGTCCATCACTAAACCATGCCTAGGTGTCTTTTAAATACCTTTAATACTGGTGTCTCAACTACTCCCCTGGGCAACTTTGAATTCCTGACTACCCTTTCAGAGAACAAATTTTGCCTAATATCCAATCTAAACCCCCAGAGCACAACTTGAGGCTGCTTTCTTCCATCCTGTCATTTGTCTTATTGAATCTCTTACAACTGGCAAAGAGAAAGTGCAAGAGATGGATGTGTGAGAAACAAAAGTAAAAAGATGAGAAGTAGGTAAGTTTTATACCTAAGATATTTGAAAAAAGCCATACCTTAAGAGAGATGCTAGGATTTTATAGCATTTTAATACTTCTCTAAAAGCTGATGTAATATTTTGTGATGAGCAAAGAAAATAATGCCTATATTTATTATTCTCTTGCAAAACTTAATTTGCAGAATAGCTTTGCAATCACAACTGTCACTGTGGCTCACAAGTGTGAGCTAAAATTTCCTTGTTTGATAATATTTGGAGCAATTTTAAGCACAGCTGGATAGCTGTTCCACCTAAACCATTTTCAGGCACTCTAAGGGACACCTAGCACTTGTCAAATCCCTAGACACCTACCTGTCTCTCTCTTTTTGCTAGTTCTGCAAGGGTTGTTTTAAGCACCTTCACCTCACTGGTAACTGCTTCTAACATATTTTTGTTTTTTTCTTTATCTTCAGTAGCTTTACGCTCCTTTAAAAGAAGTTCTGATTTGGCAGACCTGAGTTGTTTCTCAGCTTTTTCTTTCATTCTTTCCAATTTGCCTTGAGACTTACTGAGTTCCTCTATTGTTTTGTTCTGCTCCAGAGTTTTGATCTGCAATAGGGTAAGAAAGTGTTAAATTTGTCATTCTTTTTCATCTAACTTGAGCAAGTAATAAAAGTATCAGGAGCGATCGAAAATAAGCACTTTAGTGTGGTTTCTTTTGGGTTCTTCATTGAGTCATCACATGTACATGATGAACTGAACTGAAAAGTAACTAAAGGAGACTGGCCTATTTCAACACAATGAACAAAAAGATTTTTCCTTCAAAGACAAAGTTACTTTTCCTAATTCTCTACAGGTTTTGTGAAAAGAGGTATTTGGACATAAAAGAAAATCCACAGCAAGGGTTTGCTCTCTTCCAGCCCCTGGAAAAATAGTAGGAAAAAGAGTTGCCAAATGTTTTGCTGGTAAAAATGGTTCAGTGGAAACACATGCAAAGTTGTCTATTTCACTCCATCAGCTACAAGACACAAAGTCACATAAAATCAATCTCCCCTTCTCTTAGTGGTGGCAAGCTATCAATGGCTGCAAACTACTTGTATTCACCTAAGCAAAAGCAGGTAATGTATTACTACTGCAATGTAATGAAACATAGAAACAATTAAAATTTAGAATCTTGCCTGTCATATTCCCTCCACACCTCTCAGAATAGACCTTCTGTGAGTAATGCACGGGAAAATACATGACAGCCATACCAACAGGAAAGAAAGGAATGCATATATTGTATTTTTCTTATAATAGCCTGAAAATTTACATTGTGCTGTGCAGATGCTACTTAGCATATCAGCAGGACAAATTGTAATATATCCAAAACATTGTAATATTGTATTTGCTTTTGCCATCTAGATTTGAGCAGTTCTCCAAGAACACATTTATTTTAAATGAAGTCCACCTGTATCCAACTGGAATAGAAAAATGGATAGAAGTACAAATGTAATCTTCTAACTCACCTTAAGCTCACTGGTTTCAGACAGCTTGGCCTTGAGATCCGTATTTGTTTCCCTTGCCAGATCAAGCTGCTGCTGTAGCCTCTCTATCATCTTATGCAACTTTCTGACAGTGAGATTGGCCTCATCCCTTTCCACAGCTAAGGCAGTCCTTACTTGCTTCTCTTCTTCCAGCTGGGTTATTTTCTGCCGCAGAAGGTTCATGTGCAGCTCTCTGCTTTCAAGTTTTTCTTTCTGAGCCTTCAACTTGATTTCCAAACAAAAGGACATTTGAAAAAGTAAATGTAAAAGACTGTGGTATTACATAACCACAAATTTAATCCTTGTGTTGCTTCTATAACCTGAACTCCTTTTCCTCTCTTGAAAACTTTGTGAAGAAGTATCAACATATATACCCTAACTTGATACTCCTTGTATTACCAATTGATTGTGCTTCTCTATTGTTTTAAACCTTAAACAGACCCAATTCCCAGCTCTATACCAGTCTGACAAGCCTAAACCCAAAAGATTTCCCTATGTCATAACAGGATGACAGAGAGTTGTTTGACCAAATTTGAACATACTTGTTCCCGTAGGAACAACTGAAGGAAGGAACGGTTCCTTTTGGAAACATTTCAATTCTTGGTGAAGTACAACCAACACCCTACTAGTTTCTAGAAAAGTTTGTGTAATATGCCTCCCTCCTTGGCAGATCCCTTTAGATTTAAGACATTAAATTCATTCATGGAAGTTGCTTACAGAACTATAAATGTGTATTAAAAAGTAGACAAATATTTAGATACAAACATCCATAACTTTATAGTTTTTTTCTTAAGAAGTTGTGAAAAGCAGTATCATGTTCAACCAACTGGCTGGGTTTAGCTATTTCAATATGCAGTATTTTTGTGCAGTTTGCAAACACTATCTTCTTTTTACGTCATGGACATCTTTGAAATTCCTTACACATATACAGTCTGCTGCCTCTAGCAAGCCACTACAGAAAACACAGCCATACATTAACCTTTGAATGGTACATGTTTTTTGCATACCTTCCTTCGGAGGCTGTATGCCACAGTCTTGTTCTCAACCACCGCGTCACCTTCCAGTTTCACCAACTGCTCTACCCGGGCCAGAATCACATCCATAGTCATATCAAATCCAACCTCTGCTGATAGACTATCCAGCTTCATCTTCTCATTAAGTTGCTCCAGAAATTTAAGATACTAAGATTTGGAAAAGTGGGCAGAAGAATAATAAAGTTTCATTAAAAGCCATGAAGTACAATTTAAAAGCAATCCCCACTAAAATGACAGCCAACAATTTGCAGCCAGGTACGCTACAAGAAATAATATACTGGGCACACTCCTGACACAACTGCAAATTCTCCAAATGTTGTTTTTTTATTCAACACTTAGTTTGTCCATAACCCCCTAGATCTATGACATATGATGTAGTCTGAGGAGATGCAGGAATGTTAACATGGCCAGCCTTCAGCCCTTCTTAGGAACAGCAAGGTTTAGAGATAAGTTACTGGTTTACACATTGCTTTATTTTATTTGCATCTCCGTATGGTTTACTGATGTGAACACATACAGATATAAAATACAATTCAATCCAATTTTTCCGTCTTTCATTCTGCCCTACCAGCTCTTCAAAAATTGATTTGTCTCTTGCTCTCAGTTAGCTTCTCTTGCAAAATCCAAAACCCTCCTTCTCACTAAGAACTGTTTCCATTTGCTTCCTCTTAGTTCTGGTGCAAACCATTATCTCTGCAAAGAACCAACAAAATAAATAAAAATAAAAAAGCCAACAACAAACCAGTTTCACCATTTGTTCATTAGCAAGAATACCTCTTTGTTTCATGATACTTCTGATAGAAAAAAATTAAAAACAGCAGCAGCAGAAGAAAGCGCTGCAGTTATTCATTGACAGAAAAAAAAATCGTTAAAAAGATCTCTTAATTGCAGCAAAATCTAGAGAATAATTTAAGAATCTAGGGCCACATGTTACTAACAGAGGAAGCAGAATGGAAAAAACAGCTCTTTTTTCTGGTTTTCTCCCGGTGTGATGGATGCTTCATTCAAAAAGATTATTTTATCATAGTCTAAGGCAAAACAAATAGCACAAAATTGTTGATTTCTCTAAGCATTAATCCTGGCCTAGCAACATGCTACAACTTTGCTTTTCGTAGCTGTAGTGTTTGGCTTTCCAGGTACTATGTCATTTTTCAAACTCTTTGGTATGTGAATGGATTACAGGTTAACAGTGTCTTCATTCATACAATCAGACAAAAAAACCTAGTAGCCACGATTATCTAATAATATAAAGGAATCAAAGACTACAAGATCTTGAAAGATTGCAGACCAGTGCTCCAGGAGACCAAAGCAATACAATGAGCTGTGTCTCTGCTTTTAGTGACTTCTATTCAAAAGTAAATAATGTGTGCAACTACTTTTTGTTTCTCAAGCTTCAAACCATCTTGCATCAGGTCTCCAGTTAATAATTCTTCTTCCAAGTGCTTCACTTGATTGTGGAAATTCTCAGAACATTTTTCAGCTTTCCTGGTCCTCTCCAGGGCTTCCTGGTACAATCTGGTCTGATTCTCCAAGGCTTTAGTCAATTTAACTAATTGTGTTTCAAGCTGAGATACCATCTAGGGAGCAAGCAAACCAACAAAGCATACGGGGTTAAGTGGGAAATGCTGGAAAGATATGAAAGATATATCAACAAATTGTTAAAAACAGGACAAAATAGCTATCTTTAAAATATATGCATTTAAGAAGTCAAAAAGAAAAGTCTTTAACCACCAGCAAAAAAACTGTAGAAATGGAGACACCCAAAAGTGAACAGCAGGTATTATAAATAAGATGAGTCAAGCAACTAAAAGGTATTGCTATATATTAAAAAATCAAGGCAAAATAATTCAGACACAAAATTTCCAAAGATGTGGCCACAGCAGCAATACCTGGCAGTCAACTATCATTCCTTAAAATAAGCCAAGGAAATTACTATTCTTTTGTGGAGTTGATTAGAAAAAGCATAGAAGTTATTTACAAAATACATGCAGCATGTAGGAGAGAATGTAGACATGGATAATTAAGTCTCAGAGGAGTGTTCCAAATTGGTAACTGTTAAGCAGTGTTTAAAAGACTGTGCTTAAAATAACAGCAATAATAATAGCAATAACAATAACAATAATAATAATAATAATAATAATAATAATAATAATAATTTCTGTAATCTAGCCAGAGCCCAAGGATAAAAGGATAAAACCTCAAAACATGCAACTAGAACATTTCTAATTCTTCACTGTTAACTTTCCAACACCTGCATATAATGTAATGGCATTTAAGTTGTAAACTATTTATAAATTAAATGCTTGAAAGTATCGGGTTAAACTACTGCCAAATACTGAAAGGCAGTTCTATACACCAAGTTGCTTGTTTCCCTCTGTCTCTTTCTTACTGTCATGTAATTATTTGGTTACATAATTAATTATATTGCATTTGTAACTCAGTGTTCAGACACTCATCTCCAAGCAGTCTCTTCATTTTAAACATCTTGTTGGTTCCTGTTAATAAAATGAACAGAAGTACACGGAACTCTCATTAATTTTAATGGCACTGAAAGGTTTCCAACTCAAACTGCAGTTAAATACAGTTTTCCCCCAACTTCCCTAAAAAACACTGCTGCTCATACAGTAGCCAACACTAAACAATAATAAATCTGCAAGAACCCACAAACATATTTTATGCTTTTTTTACATCTCACATCACCCATCAGGAACAGGAGTTTCAGTAACTTGTTCCCCCAGATATGTGTTGCTGCCAGAGAACCTACAGCCCCTTTATGAGGTTGCAGAGTGGCTGCAAGGGGATTTTAGAGGCTTCAAAGACCCATAAACATGAGAAAGTGAAGGCCTATACCACAGAAGCAGAGCAGAAGCTGTCATTTTAACAGCCTGGGGTATCCTGGTGTAACTTTCATCCTTGGCTTAGGGACTACCCACAAGACAGGTATTTCCTAAAACAAGGTTCCACCTGTTACCCACCCATGCCTGATCCATCGTCTTAACAAAGGCTGCATTTTTGGTCCTGCAGTTCTGACCTCCACAACTTCTCATTCCTATGACTCATGCACCTTGATCAGCCAGCCTACAAAATAAAAACCCCCTTTCTACTTTTTGCTTTAGTGTGGCTATTAGATAATTTCAAACTACAACCATTTTACATATGACACAAAGTAGGGTCAGAGCATGGATCTGCTGGATGGAAGGAAGGCTCTGCAGAGGGACCTGGGCAGGCTGCATCAATAGGCTGACACCAGTGTTTGAAGTTCAACAAGGCAAAGTGGTCCTGCCCTCGGGTCACAACATTGCTACAGGCTGGGCAGAGTGGCTGGGAAACTATGTGGTGGAAAAGGATGTGGGGATGCTGGTCAATAGCTGGCTCAAACTGAGCCAGAAATGTGCCCAGGTGGGCAAGAAGGCCAATGGCATGGGTTTGTTCTTTTGTTTTTTTTTAAATACTTCATCAAAATGCACAGGATATTTTCCAGCCTTGGACAGAATACAAAACTATTTGTTGTCATTAAAAACTATCACATCAGCAGGAGATGTTAGAATTTTAAAATCTGGCAAGAATATCACAGCTGGTTTTCAGTGACTCACTGAAAGCAGCTTTTGATTTAGTGTGTGACTTTTAACAACATAAATAGTCCTCACTGACAAAATTAATAAATTGTAAGCGAGACACTTCAGTGCAGCGTTGGGATACTGACATTGGTCAGGTTGCATTCTGATTCACCTTCCTCCTGAACTGTCCCTTCTCTACCTATACATTCAAATACACCTTTGCAAACACTACCAGACCAAATACCTCAAGCCAGAGCCTTCCTTTTACCTTCTTCGGATGCTGAATGTTTAGCTGTAAGTGTAAAAACACATCTTTATCTTTAGGTGCAGGTTTGAGGATTGAAGTGAAAGAAGTTGCCTGTGGCAACTCATCAATTATATCTGCTGTGAGAAAGAAGTCAGTTTTTGAAGTCACCATTGTAGCAGTAAATCCATACTTGTTCACAGGTTTCACTAAATCATAGCAACCAAACAGCCACCTTTGATGTCTGCTGGCACAGAAACCAAATTTTAATGTTGTAACTGAAAGACCACTCCGAGTCTTTTCTTCCTAACAGCATCTATTATTAATTTCATTTCTGAACTCTTTCTGTTTAGTAAAACATAGATGCTTTTCCACTATTACCTTAAATCAATAGACAACAAAATTAAAGGTTTCTGTAATTTCAAAACCTAAGCAGAAAAGAATTAACACTCTACCAGATGAATAAAATGAAACAGAACCCAAGGAGAATAAATGCACACATTGGACAAGTGCAGTAGTTGCTGACTTACTATTTCTTTTTTCTCCTCTTTGCAATTTATTTCTTGGATCCTCTCCAAAATGGTCTTCTCAGAAGGTTTAACTATTTCAGATCCACAGCTGAGCAGGGTAGCAATTTCTTCTTTAAAAGCTTCTAAAGAGTCCTGAGCAGTCCTGGCCTCTTCTCTGCTACTCTTCAAGCTTGCATCTAACTCCCTGGAAGATTTCTTCAGATTGTGCAGTTCCTGCTTTGAGGTGTCCAAAGCTTTCTGGTTAACTGTCAGTTTCTCTTGGAGGTTTCTGATCTCCAGCTCTAAACTCTGTCTCTTTATTATAGCACTGTCAAGATCCTAAAGTGCATGAAGAATTAAACAAGATTTTTAAAATTAGTTATAAACCCTCTCCACCACACACAAATTAAGGAATAACTCATGAGGAGGTACTGCAGACAGAAATTGATGAAAACCTGAAGTCTGCTGTAATCACATTCAAGACTAAACTCTTATATTTGTTTGCAAAAAAGAATACATAAATAAAATTTTGAGGTGAATGAAACCAAATTTTTTATTATAGAACTACTGCAATCTTACTTTTCCCTCCAGATAGTATGACCTGAAAACAAGCAGTGAAAAAGAGGTATCACACATAAAGCCAAAGTACTACAACTGAGAGGGGAAAGGACATGATAGGGTAAGATAGAATAGATTATTTCAGTTGGAAGGGACATGCAGTGATGATCAACTCCAACTGCCTGACAATTCAGAGCTGACCAAAACAATAGACACAATCTCCCTGAATACAGTGATCTCTGAGATCAGTTTATCTGACTGCAACAAAAGATCCCGAGATTATTATTCACAGAAATGAGAAGTGAAGGACAAGACAATCCCTTGGTTGGGAAGGAATAAAATATAGCCATACATATGTATCTATATCAGTTGTACAGAAATACTAACCTAACAGGTCAGAGCAGACAGAAAGAATTGTGCATCCTGACCCATGACACCAAAACAAATAATGACAGAAAAAATAAAGAAAAATAACCATCTAAACATAAAGAAATAAAGTATTGTGTGTCTCTCCCCACAATACCAATATTAAGAGTGCTTACACATACATATACAAGAAAAATATTTGCACCAAGACCAACTAAAAGTACAGCAAAGACTAAGTCTTCAGTTCTCAGGGCATTTTCTGATTGGTAAGAACAAATGGGAAAGTGTATTATTTCACACATGACACAAAAAGAAAGAGTAATATTTTGCCCATGACACAAAATTGCTAGAGTATGGAATATTTACAGAGAGGGATTGGATTCTTCGGGAGGTCTCAGTGGTAAGTAGAGGGTCAGTAAGTGGACTGATATGAGTTAAGATTATGCACACTGGAGTTAAACAACTGTTCCTGAAGCAGTTATTAATATGGTGATTACTCAAGGGTCTCTCAGGGTCTATGTATGCTTGCTGTGGAGTGCAGCATGTCATTTGTATTAATGGAATACCTGCCAATCAAGCAGTTAAATCTGGGAGCATTTCTGTAGATCAGCAGGGAGGGTGGCCAAAAAAAAGGAGTTTGCAGGGCACCTTTAGAAAATAAAATATAAAAATATTATACTAAAAATACTAAAATTTTTAATAGCGGTGAAAAGGCAAACATACAAAAACATAAATAACAACATTTAGGAAATAATTTGTTTTTATACCTTTCTGAAGTATTTTTAGAATTGTTTTACAAACAAATGTTGGCCTGATTCCTTTCCAATTTCTCTTTTTAATTCTAGACAAGTTCTATTAATAGAAAATTCCCACCTCAGTAGTGCTCAGAACTACATTATGGTAATTACAGCAAAGAACAGAGTCATTTATTTCAATTACAATTTTCAGCAGTGCGTATTTTTCCTTTCAGAAAGGCAGTGCTAAAATGGTTTGCCAATACCAGGGAGCTCACCTAATCACCATCTTGCTAAATTGTGAACATCTGAAAACATAGTTTATTCAAAAGATCAAGGTATAAAATAAGGAAGTGAAAGCCACCAAACAACGGCTGGGAAACTGCCTGGCAGAAAAGGACCTGGGGGTGCTGGCTGACAGTGGCTGAACATGAGACACGTGTCCAGGTGGCCAAGAAGGCCAATGGCATCCTGGCCTGGACCACCAAGAGTGTGGCCAGCAGGAGCAGGGCAGGGATTGTCCCCTGCATTCACACCGGTGAGTGACATCTGGAGTGCTGTGTTCAATTCTGGGCCCCTCAGTTCAGGAAGAACATTGAGGTGCTCTGGCGTCCAGGGAAGGGTAGCAGAGCTGGTGAAGGGTCTGGAGCAGAAGTCTGATGAGCAGCATCTGAGGGAGCTGGGGGTGTTTAATCTGGAGAAGAGGAGGCTCAAAGGAGACCTTATCACTCTCTACAGCTGCCTGAAAGGAGGTTGGAGTCAGATGGGGGTCTGTTTCTTCTCCCAGTTCAGAAACACAGGAAATGGCCTCGGATTGTGGCAGAAGAAATTTGTTATTAGGAAAAAATTCATCAGAAGGGCTATGAAGCACTGGAACAGGCTGCCCAGGGAAGTGGTGGAGCCACCACCCCTGGAGGTACTGAAAGACTTGCATATGGGTACTTAGGAACAGGTTGAGTGGTGGGTTTGGCAGTCCTGGGTTAACAGTTGGACTCCATGAACTTGCAGGTCTTTCCCAACCTAAGTAATTCCATGGTTCTACTGACACTCCTATCAGCAGCATGGTCTCAATGGACCGAGGACAACTACACATATACAAAAAAGAGCCCACATTACATGAATAAGATGGGATTAAAGACAATACAGGTATTTTCCAGATGAATTCTTACACCAGCTGCACCTCCAGTTACTACTGTTATACCATAAGGATTGTAAAACTAGTTTGTTCTTATCTCCCATCTTCTCAAATGATTCAATCTGGAAATATCTCTGATGCCTGCTGAAACCTGTCTCTAATATGTATTTTCTTAATGACATCTTATAAACAAAAACAAAACAAAAAATCCAGGTTCTGAGAAACTCATTCCTGGATTTATCTGTTGGGACAAGAAAAACCTAAAATCATGTGGCTGTCTCTCCTACAATCTAAGTATTTGGATATATTCAAAAATGTAGCCATATTTCTCAAGTTCAATCAAGTTCCTTAAATGTTTTCATATTTTAATTAACCCTTTTCATACAATTGATTTATTTTAATAAATTTATATTGATTAGAAACTACTTAGATCTATTTTGTTCATTAACATAACAATATAAACCAATACTGAAGAATATTTTCTTGGTTAATTTTGCATCAGTAGTACATACAGATAAATTTGTACTAATTAAAATTGCTTGCTTACACTTCAAGTATGTTCTTTAAAGATTTTGCATGGTGCACATCTTTGCAAAACAGATGTTTAAAATAATACTTCAGAAGGAAATCACAAATATTTCCAGACTGAATTGTCAGCAAAGATGTGAAACAGAGCAAGACAGTTCACTAGTTCTCGTGGATCATCAGTGGTAATGCTGTATTTAAATTAATCTGGAAGAATATATGCATCCTTTCCTATACCTTAGATAAACACCATACAGGAATTTATTAAATGTTAAAAAGAAACTTGGTTGGAGTAAATAAGACATTACAGACACTCTCAAAGACTGTTACAATTCTCCAATTATGATTATCATAATCAGTAAACACTCTCTGGAAATACAGAAAGAAAGTTCAGGTATTCTGCTTCTCAGTCTAAAAATCTGGGCAGGATTTAGAAGTTGTTTTCATCAAATGTAAATTTGATATCCAGTGCAGCCATAATAATGGCACAATATTTACAAATTTCCAGAAGCAAAATCTTGCAATATTCTATCAGAAATATGAGCAATTCAGAAATAAATAGAAGAGTGTATTCAGAAATAAATAAAAATAATAGATTAGAAAAAAAATCTTCTTGCATTGCTTTTTTTACTTTTATTAGTTTCAAGAATTACTGTTTTTTATTCTTTGCTGCTTAATATTGTCATGCAGTGAGATGAAGAGAACAGATAAAATTACTGTTCACTTAGTTAATGTTCCTCAAATAAAGCCCAGCTAACTGCAACAAATACTCAAGTAGCAAACATGCTAAAGACTATTTTAAATAGTCTTTTAACCTTAAAACATAATTAACTGGCTTTCATTTTATTCAGTAATAATTTTTCGAATTCTGAGGCAACTACCTCCTCCTGGGACATAAAAAAAGGCACGTGATCAAGAGAAGGAATTCATAGAAGTCCTAAAGAACGGGAGTGGAGAACTACCTGGCAATTAAAACGGGCAATTATTCCAAGGGGGGGCAGGGAACAGTGTGGTGGCCAAATCTTGGTGGAGATGACTGACAGAACAGTGTGATAGTCTCCATACACCTAGGAAGAATTTTAAGAGAAAACTGGTGGAAATGGGCTGCCATCTCAAACTGTAATACTGAAGATGGCCAAAATGTTTGGCCCTGAGAGCTGTAGGCACATGTAGACAAGAGTCACTACTCAGCCTTTGCTGGATAAATTCAGCTACAGGCCATTCCATTAAGTCCAGAAAACAGCCCAGAAACACATAGCCAAGTATGAGTCTTCTGGCACAGAACAGCACGGATCTCTGCTTCTCACCTTGACAGGGGAACATGTCACAACACACGCAACTCCATTCATGTGCTTCAGCTGTGCAGCATGAAGGACATGGTGAAGTCAGACTGACTTATGCCACTGGTACCCCTCCTGTAACCAAGTCAGACACCCATCAAGGGAACAGGGAATCCCTCACTTCACATGTGAGGACATAAAGCATTTTTTGTTTTTTGCTTCCTTTTTCAATACTGAACTTCTTCATATGTTTTGTAAACACAAAACCTCATCAACAGATTTGCTCAGTGTCTGCAAATATAAGTGGCTAAACTGAAATTGCACTGGAGGAATATGCAGCCTCTATGCAGACAGGGCTTTTTCTGTAAAATTGCTTAAATAAATTATGTATTTGGCACATGCAAAATAATGATAGGAAAATATTTTTCAGAAAACCAGCTCAGCTTGGTAAATGTTTTGGCAGTTAGAGCAAATTTGAAAAACAAGCCATAAATGGAGCCCTGATCTTGGTTTAAAACATCTCCTGATTCTGGCTCGCTGAGTAAACTACACTCTGTTCTTCCTTACACACCTGTGTTTGAAGTGAAGCATGAAAACAAAATGTTCTCAAAAAGGACCTGTTTAAGATTTTGGTACAGGTTCTCTCTCAGTTCAACTGAGTCTTAGAAAATTGTGCACAGCTTGGTAAGAACTATTTTCAGCAGTAAGTAAAATTTATGACCCTTGTGGTACGTACATTTATCTTCCCCACAAATTCTTTCTATTCCAGAGCACACTGCCAGCTATTTCTCATCTCCTAAGTATTTTGCTTACAACCAAAGCAGAACACTATATCCTTTAAAGTGTATGGTGGGCGTCTCTTCTTCAGGAAAAGAATGTCAGGAGTGGGGAAAACACTGTATTACTTTGGAAAACTCACTTGCACAAGGTTGCCTTTGTGTTAAAAATTCCTACCAACTCAATCACAACTCAGATACATATTTGGCAGTCTAAGTTTCTTCTCTTATCTTCTCACGTTCCAGCCATCAGCTTTAACCATACTGTTTCACCTGCAGGAATCTTCATTCTGGCTTCAGTGAACTGTTTCCTTTCCACAGACTCCATCTTCCATCACTCAAAGTGCAAACCAGTAAGGAAAACTGCTACAGAAATGCACTTTGTTCATCCATCCTTTGAAATATGCAAATTCTTAACAGGAAGTTCTCCTGGAGCAATTCAATCCTTACATCTTTTCCTTCACAAATCATAGTTAGGTGAATTTGGTGAATATTTGACTTAAAACTTAACTTATATTTCTCATCTGACCATCCTTCCTGCTGCATAGATTTTCTCTTAAGACTTCCCAACAGTGAAACAGTGCTTTCCTGCAAGAGCCATCCTACTGCCTACAACTTTTTGGGAATGAGCCAATGGTTAGGAAATACAAATTTATAATGCAGTGAAAAGATAATCTAGGGTGTATGGAAGCCAAGACACTTTACTGTCCAGTCCCTTAAGAGAAAGTATAATGTCCTATCAATTCATTTCAATTTCTCATTAGAATTTTTTAAAAACTGAGTAGAAAAAAACTCAGGAAACTTGCAGTAGCAGATAAATGTTATTTAAGAGTGTTTTTTCACCACTGAACGCTTGTGCCTCAGATATTAACAATATACACATTCATTTATTTACATGACTGTGCAAGCACAAAGGCTAAGAAGAAAGCACTAAGAAGAAAGCAAAAATAGAAATTTGCAAACAGCATTGAAAGACATCACATCTGCCTCAGATCTGTTTCACAAAATGTTATTGTTTAATTTTCATATCTCACTTTCAAGAAGTTGAAAATAAACTTAGGAAAATGTCCTTTTTAGAAAAGACCATAATCAACATAATTTTTCCAGAACCATCATTTCTCATGTAATACCTATTGAAAATTAATCTGAAATTTCAAGAAAACATTTGAAAACCAGACAAGCATACAAGCCTTGCAATTATGTACCTTACTAAGTTTTTCCATGTCTTGGTAGTATCCTGATGCCTTTTTCTGCTCCTTGGCCACTTCTGAAACTAGTCTCATGATAGTTTCTCTGTTAGCTTTAGACTCCATCTCATGGACATTCACAGCTTCTTGAAGAGCAGCAACTTGGTCTTTTAGTGTCACATTTTCATTACATATTTCAGAGACCTTGAGAAATAAATTAAATATTAGCAGCTTCTAAAAAGTTCTTAACAATTAAAAATATTCACCCCCATTATACTTGCTCCTAATCATGCCAATGAAGACTCAGTGTTTGTGGTGACCCCTAAGTCAGATTTATAATTGCATTCTACCATTCCTTTAGAAAAAGAATAGAAAGACAGTTAAAATCATAGAATCATATTCTCACTATAAACCCCCACCTTCGCATAATGTGACTCAGATTCGCTCCCACACAGATCTTATGATGTATTAAACAGGTGGAGAGCTACTGCTGCTGCATATCCATGCTTGACATGCAGCAGGTCAGAAAACAGACCATGCAGCTACTTCATGTGAAAAGCAAACCATTTCAGCCCAGCTTTTTAAGATGTGTGCCTTTCATTTGGAACAAGAAAGCTGCAATTCATGCCCAAAACTTTTTAAGCATGAGAGGTTTGAGTTAGTAACTTATTTCATAAGCACATTCAAGGACAGGTCCAAATACCTGGTGAGCTGGCATTATGAGCAGCCAACACTTTGGAAAAACAGAGTCCTTTCCAGGAGGATTCTAGGGCTGTTTTGGTACGCTATGCTATTTCCAATCAGTGGAATAGATGAATATGGGCACTTCAAAGAGTGAGCAAAAAACGTACCCTTGATTCTTACTGGCAAGACGTTTGTTAAGACTAAAACAGGATCAATTCTGTCTTAAATAAAACCATAATGTGGAAAAGAAGCTAAATAGATGTGCCAAAACCCCAGAAAAACTAGTTGCTAAGATTTCCTAAGGCACAGCTTTCAGCACAAATTAGATTTGCTAGCTAGATTTGCAGCTAGATTTACTACTACATTGTTAAAAGACATGAAGATATGGTTTTAAGCTCTAATTATTAACTTATTAATTGTTAAAGTATGCAAGAGTACATCTTGTGTGACGTTTTTTAGAGCATCTATTAAAATTTCAATGTGCTTGCAATACTATGTAATATTATGAGGGTGTACACCCACTGGATGATATATACCCAGATAATCTTGATTTATTAAGACTGTAATCTTACAATGACAAGAACATAATGAAACAGAATTTCCCCAAATACCTATTGTGCTCCAAAGTGAAGAAAAATAGAGATCAAAGAGTAGACAGAAGATGAGTGAAATGCATAAAATTAGAATAAAATGTCTTTCAGCAGCATTGATAGATCTTAAAGGAATATACAGACAATTTTCTCTTCCTAAATGGAAGCTTAGTTTTTCAAACTTCAGAAGTATTCTGAAGTGAAATAATAAATTTTTATTATTAAATCTCAGAAACACCACAAAGTTATTTACAGCATTTTATTACAGGACACTGTAGGGGTTATTTTAGGGCATGCCATTTCAGATGTTTGTATTTAATGGTATGTCAGCTCAAGATAAAGTTAAGACCCAGTGTTACAGTTTACACATCACCTGTTGACCTCCATGTTAATCTTTTAAGGAAAGCTTTTAACCAAGTATCTGATCAGGGTTGTATGTGGAAACTGCAGGCTGATAAATTATTTATGCAGATAAGAGCAGACTGAGTTCACTGAGGCCTATTAGTGTGCAGCACCTTTGAAAATTAGCCCAGTACAAAAAAAAATCTGTCTTTAAATGATAGCACTGTATTCAAACCATAATTAAATTCAAAGATCTCTATCATTTCCTTCTGTGACAACCAGGTATTTTTCTGTTAAATCACTGTAGAAAAACATTTGCCTACACAATCACCTTTGATGTTAAATGTTCCTGTGGTTTCTCTTTTTCTCTGATGTCTATGTCCAAGAATCCAGAAAGATGTGTAAGGAGTTCTTCATAGTTTTTGCTGATTTTAGAAGCTTGAGTCATGTCTTCCTCACACTCATTCAAATATTTACTAATCAGACAGAAAAAAATGTACACATAGGGATGAATGTTCCCTGAAAAAGAATTCTAGGCAAAATACATTGTCCCAAAACTATTGCTGGCTTCTGCATACCACCGAATGAACTTTAAAAATTACATTTAATTCTCTATACGTTATGTAAAACATATAACTTTTACTACTGCCTTATGTGCAAACATTTCTTCATCTTTGCTTTTGATTAACACTTCAAAAAATCTTCAATGATCCCAATCTCATCCACCAAATTTGAATAAAACACAAGAACCAAGTGACACAAATAAATAGTGCCCTCAAGATACTACAACTGGAAAGTGTCAGCAAAAGCCTAAAAAAAGTAAGTGGAGGGGAGAAAGCCATCAACTCTTAGCAAAAATATGTGAAAAGCACTTCACATCCCCTCTTTAAAGAAGCTGACAGAGATGATTAACAAACTTCAAGTAAAGAGAAGCCTTTCTGGACCAATGGAAGTCTGAGACATCCAGAGTAGCTGTGAAGGGAAGTTTGCCAGCAGAAGCAGAGATGAGAGACACTTCTTTCCTGCACAGTACTCTGAAGCACTACTCATGAAGTGGATGCATTTAAAAAGACAGCATCTAGGGGCTACCACAAAGATATGAAGAAAAGGGAGTCAGTAATTTCATCACTCAACAGGTGCCTACCATGCAATGCATATCCCACATGAAACATGTTGTCAGCCTTAAGAGCAGGCGTCAGTTTGTAAGCGTTCTACAAGAACAACCAACCAAATAAAATACCAGTGAATTTAACTCATTAGTAGAAATGTCTTTACATTCCTTCCCTTGCCAGGGACAAAGATGGGTCCAGCAAACAAGAACCACACAGTCTGATTCAGTAGGAAATACAGAAAAAAATCTTGCTCATGATGCTGAAACTCATATCACTTATGGAAAACTACAGAGAAACAGGTTAGCAAAACCAGCCAACCAAACAGAGCTCAAAACAACTACTAGTGTAATCCAAATGTCAACTCCAGTGCCTCTCAGGAACACCCACAAGTGAGGTACTTAGGGGTAGAGTTCAAGACATGGTAGATTGGTAGTGGTAAATTTGCAAGACAAGCAATTGAGCTTCCATTTGAAAAGCAAAGTTCTTTCTAAAGAAACTTCTTCCCTCTATAATAAATCAAGACCTGACAGGTAATCAAATGCATGTCTAGAGCAAATATTTTATTGAAACTCATTTGCTTATCCGAGCATAGCACTATTCTCAGTTTTCAAGGTGGGCACAGTCATTGCTGGACTCATTCTTTTCCATTTCTGACTTCTTCCTCTCTAGGCTGGCAATCAAACAGAGCATCGTAACCAAAGAGCTGCATGAAACTCCAACAGGAGATGCACAGTGAGCGCAAACACAGTACATTGAATGCTTATAAATCAATAAGCAAAACAGTCTATGAAAAGATATAACACATGACCTTAGGAGGGAGATCAACACAGCTGCTGAAAATGCTGCAAAGTGAAAGAGAGTGGCATAATAACGGAGAAGAATGGTAAACATTCATTATTGCTTTGGACATTGTGCTGCACAGCACACACCACAAGCCAAAAGAGCTCTGCCTTCTGCAGAACACAAGCACCCTCACAGCTTCCTCACCTCTGGGCACCTTCCTTTCCTCTGTAGCCCAAACAAAACTGAACCATGAGATGATTGCTAAACTGTTGTTGTGAGGACGGATATGTCAGAAGTGAAAATGTTTTAGGCTCAGACATGCCATATATGCATACCTATATGTCAGAATATTACATAAGATTGACCACCAACCCCACAACTGCTCTGTGGCTCTAAAAAATTGAGGTATCCACTCACAAAACCATGCCTGCTGCTAAAAATAACGAATCTGAAGTACAAAGCACTCACTTGATAACTTTACGAATAATCTAATTACCTGCAGTAGGGCCGTAAAGGTGTGAGCACCTAGAAAATAGGCAGTCAGGTACAAAAAAGTAGAACACATCTTTTTCACAGTTTTGCTAGCTCTTCAGAACTAATGAGCAAAGAGAAGGGAAGGAGAAAAAAGAAGAAAAAAAGCTTTTGACAGTTCACACTTTAAAAATACCATGGCAATAGACATGTCGAGTAGAAAAGCACCAATTTCAATAGGAGAGCTGCACATCCTGGAAGCGAATCATAGAAGTCACCAAACATTTCTTACTATATCCCCAAGGTATAGAATGTAAATATGCACTTCATGTGTGCTGGCTTGCTCTTCTCCCTTTCATTAGTGGTTTTCAGTGAAAATCTTTTTTGCACACCTAATTAGGACTAGTCATGCACCAAGTACTACCAGGGTGGCCAGACTAAGTGACTGAAATTCACTGAGTCAACACACTGGTTAGTGTAAAGTGACATGTGTTAGCTCAGGACAACAAAAAGCTTTGGAAGCAAATACTGCACGTTCACCAGCAATCCAACATGTTTGTTCCTTCCAAATGAGCAGACTCACTATCCCTGTATCTCTTCTCTTTTCCCAGAAGTCCAGTGGCACTGGACTCCAGGTGCGCAGTAAAGCAGAGCTGGGATTCATAGAGGTGGAAATAGAGCTTTTTATTTTGCTCACTTCTCTCTTGGATCAGTTCCCTGGTCTTGATCACCACACATCAACACAAACAGAACAGATTACACAAGTGCTGTATGCCAAAGAGAGCAGCCAGCACTGCTCTGGGAGTGACAGCAGAGATTAATGCCCATAAAAATGATTGTACCACTACAATGACAGGCGAGTATGAAACACAGTTTTTCAGAAGTTTTCTCCCAGTGAGTCAGGCAAGCAAGTAGGATACAAGCTTTTTCTTCCTTTTACTTCTTCTTTTCTTTTTTTCCTACCAGAAGTAGCACTTTAAAGAATCTTAACAGCCATTATGTAAGACTGAACTCTGCAGGCAGGGCTTCTGGCAAATCAGCTGTTAATAAACAAGTGCACTGGAATTGTTTTCTCCAAGTTTTAAAATTACTTAATTATTTACTTTTAATGCATAAAACCTGGCAGAGCTGTGCAAAATACTGATTTGAGAAATAAAAGTGTCTGGTAAACACTCACTTCTCTCTTGACTAGACAGTATTGACAGAGTCACAAATATTGGTCTGATAATGGACAGAAAAACCCATTATAAAAGTCTAGGTGTCTATTAATATGACTGACACTGATTTTGGAATTTAAAAGTTCGGAATATTTTCACACCAATCAATTTTGCTACAAGTCTCCATCCTACAGACCCAAAACATGAGCAATTAGATAGAGCTGACAGATCAGTGCTCTGATACACTGTGCTAAGAACAGTACAGTTAAAGGATACTATCCTTTATAGTTTAATGCATTTTACCTTCAAAGTACAAAACATTCAAACCTCTATGAATGGACTAACAACTCAAAACAAAATTCAAATTTTAACACCTTCCACACACTCAGGCACTGTAACAGAATTCAGAACTGCAAAAAATGTCTATCCACCAACTTATTTTTTCTGTATTGACAACTATACCATTCCATCATACCCCCAGAAAAAGTTTTTTTCTTATCTCACATGACTCTTACTTAAGTTTGGTACTTTTCTCATGAAGCTCATCCTTCAGCTCCAAATTTTCCTTATATGCCACCTGAGCTGTCAGCTCAGCCTGGTTTTTAGAAGTGGCGAGCACACACAGCTCTTCCTCCATCTCCTGGATTCGTGTTTGCAAAGACAGGAGGCGAGACATCAGTCTAGCATTGTTTTCCTTATAACTTTCAGCTTCAGCCTTCAGTTCTTGAAAAGAAGCTTCTTTAGAGATGATGCTCGACCTGAGTTTAAGAAGCTATAGATGGAAAAGGAGAAAATCAATGAAGAATAGTTTTCCCAGCCTGAAATAACATGCCTCTTCTACAAGCTTAGTAATGTGACAACACATTTCTATCACTACAAGACTGAGTAGAGGGACACGACTTTACTTTTGTGTGACTAGAAAAAAGCAATGGAAGACGTTCGTAAAAACAAAAGCTATTGTTGCAATACAACTTTTCAAGATACATCTTACAGGAAGGTAAGTTTATTTCCTAATTCAGAATTTAGGAGAACTCTAACTTAAGTTCTGCTGCACAACCTTAACTCATGTCTCCTATGTATCTGGATTACAGCCAAGTTATTAACACCACTATTCCTTCTTTTTTGTCTGCTATATGCCTGCTTCCAAATTTGGTGCTCAGTTCCACATATAATCTAGAACTGCATGGAGTTGTAAAGTGTCCTTCTGTATGAAAGTGGAGCTTTTCAATGGTTTGAGGCATATCCAGAAGCAAGTACATTTTTGAAGGACTATGTGGTAGGCACCCTCTTCTCATCTTATGCAAATAGTTATTTTTGGGTATGATAATCCAATTAAATATAGCTCTATTTACACAGAAACAGCAATAGAGCCTTTTAAGGAAGGGTAGGAGGAGGAAAATCACCCTCATATATTAAAGACCTCTTACAGGGATGATGCTAGAGTTTTCCGAGAGTTCATGGAGTTCACTAAATTTTCCTCTCTCTTTTTATTAAAAACACCATTTTCCATTGAACCATTTCTGCTAGAAGCTGCAGTCTCTCTCTAGGAGACTGTGCTTGAGGGAGACTCACCAGGCAAACAAAATTTTCTTTTTTTTCTGTTATTAGGAAAGGAAATTATTAACTGTAATTTAAAGTGGACATTTTTGTCTCAAGAAACATTAAGGCATGTTTCAGCTTTCCTGACAATTCCAATTAAAAGCAGCAAGATGCAATCTGAAGGACTTCTGTCCTATCACATAAAATTAACTGGCAAATAATTAAGCCAAATTAACTGCTCTTTATGATGAGTGATGGAACTTCTACATTGTGGCAAACATTTTAAGGCAAAAATATTTAAGACATTAACCTGCAATCCAGGACAATGGGAAATTCACATCTCTGTTGGAGTCCTTCAGTATGACCAAACCCAAGATACTCAGAGAAATTTGAGAGGCTGGTGAGCCACCAGAACAGCAACTACCTTGGAAAAGGTAGGTCCTGCTTCTCCTCTTTCCAGTCACACACGCCTGTCCTCTCTCTCACACCACCTCTGTGTTTGTCTGATTCCCTCACAAACAACTTAAATAACAACTGATAGAAAATAGTTCACTTTTTCTCTCGCAGAGGAGAAAGAGAATCACAGAACAAAGGCTAATGCTGAGAAATCAAGGACAAGGATCACCCTTGAAGCAGCAGCACAGCGGCCAGGAAGCTTATGCTTCACGTGCAAGCGCTGCTTTATCAGACACTCGAGAGCAGCACTGAGTTTGAGAAAAGCTGCTTGGCTTTCTTTCTTTCTTTCTTGGTTCATGGGCTTCATTCCCATACTCCACCCTCCTTTTTGTGCTAGAAGAAGCACTTACATGGCTACAAGGTGAAATAAGATTGGGAAACTGATCTGGTTAAAAAGCAACTTAGAAGGAGAGGAACTATTTTTCAGTTGCATCCACACAACAATGCACCGTAAAAACTACACAAGCACAAGGGGTGGGGCAGTGTGGGGAAGGAAATGAGCAGCTGAAGGAACAATAGCATTGCTTTGCTTGGCAGCTGGACCAAGCTATGGTATCTTAGAGTGTTCATAACCTTAAAATTTCTCTGTGGTTCAACTCCCCATGTGGTATTTTTTTGTCTCTCCATTGTCTTTGTGGTCAGTTCCAACAGCAGAAAAAGCAAGAATAATTCCATACTGTGAGTTTTACAGAGCACTCAGCAGAACAAGGCTCTGACCTTAGCTGGGTCATGAAGGGCTTTATTAACAAGAGCATGAACAGCTGCTTTTTTGACTATGCTTTTGCAAGCACTGTCTTGAAAAATCTATAAATCAGTCAGACTTTCTGGCAATAAAGCCATTCAACATTTCCAGTAATAAATTCTTTTGTTTGAGAACATTAGATTCTGTATGGCTTCTTAAAATTTAAATTTAAAGCACCAGTTCTGGATAAATGTTAAATGTAGGAGAACCCTGCAGTAACTTCAGGACCAACTGATCAAATTAGACATCAGCCAATGGACACTTATGCCTGTAGTTCTGTATGTAAACAAATGCAAGCATTACATGTCTTTTAGAGGCAAACTTTACTCCACTTTAAAACTGACCAAACCCACATTGATAACTTCAATCAAATCAACTTTAACCAGTTATATGTTAAAAAAAATTACTTGTGAAAATATCACAAATCTAAAAATTATCCTGTAATAAATCCTCTCATGAGAAACACCATCTACACAGCAGGAAGAGTAGAAAAGTATGTGTATGTGTTCTTCAGCCTCTCTAGCTACAATCAACTCATTAGCACAAACACAATTTCACTGGTGATGAAAGCAGAGCAAATTTAGGGAGCTATAACTTGAATTAAAGGGAGAAGTAAGTAAAGATGAGCAGCTAGATCTTAATTCACTAGCAAGAAGAGGAGGATAGCTATCTAAATGTTTATACAACCACAATTTAATTAATTTTCAGGTTTAATATAAAAATATTGCACTTAGATAATGATGACAGAAAGATACACTGCTTCAAATCTTCCAAATACAAATTTATATCAGTTCTTGATCACAGAATGAAGCAAAGTAAAAATCACACAGACATTCTAAAAACAAAACCCCCAAAGTTCTGTAGCAAAAGCAAGTTTTGGACTTTCTGCAAGCTTTCTATTCTCTACATAAGGTGACTGCAAAATATCCTCACGTTTGGAGAAGGATTTGAAATTATTTTTAGATGTACCTCTGACTGGGCACAGTCATACTTCACTGAAAGTGCTGCAAGTTCACTTTGAGCAGTTTCAGCTGCAGCTCGATAGTGATTCATCTGCTCTCTAGAGACAGGAATATCCAAAAGAATGTGATCATGAGATTCCTGTGAAGACAAGATGAAGACAAAACCATTAGACACCACATTTTTTTAACACTTTTGCTTCAGTGCTTTTTTGTTTGATTAAGCTGCTCAAGGACATTACTCCAAATGTTCCACAGTATTATTCCCAGAGTAACACACACTTACTGAAAAATAGGTTAAACAGTCACTTTTCTACAAGTCTCCACTTTCATCTCCAAGTTCAGCCACCAACACAAGTGCTAAGGTAAGACAGTCCCCCTCAACAATCCCATGACCTCCCACTGTTTTCAGCCCTGGCTATTTCCAGCAGCTTCTATATATTTAGTAACATTCAAAAGGTCCCTTTTTTACAAACTTACCCAGTCACTCTTTCAACCTGTGTAAGCTTTAACCGAAAGGGAGTCCCTCAGGTGTCTCCTATGCAAAGAATCACTTTGGTTTTTAGTCTTCAGTTATACTGCACATCCCCTCATTTTTCCTTCAGAAGAAATGTTGAAAAAAGGCAATGGCTATCCATCTTCTCTGTGCCACTCACGATTTTTCAGATTTCTATCATATCTCACCTCCACAGTGTCTCTATCAGGCTGAAGAGCCCATACCTATTCAGACACTTCTGTCTGCTCCTCCAAGTCACTTTTTGGCTTGCCATTTGCTTTTTTACTTCTAACCTTTCAAGGTTAGAGGTCCTGCTGAACTCACTTGGACACAACTTCAGCTTCCTGACTGATGCTTTTTCATCCCCAGCCATCACCATAATGACTTCCTTTCATTCTTTTTCAAGTCCTGATTCCATGACAAGCACTGCCTCTGTCTTTCTAGTACAGTCTCCTTCACACCACTTGTACAACCCTTTTAGCTGTGCCCTTTAGATTCTATAGTAAGCTTTCTCCTTTTTGTGGTGTTCTGCTCTTCTACAGTAGAGCAGGAATGTGCTGGATTTCTTGGCCTTTATTACTTAAGTCTTTCAAGATGAAAATTCAGACCTGAAGTCTTGGTAGAGTTTCACTAGACAGAGCTTTTTTTTTTGCTTTCTTTTTTTTCCCCCAATCAATAGTAACTAAAAATGATGAAATGCAACCTCTTCAGAACAGACCTAAGTTTAGGTTATGCTGGGAGCACACATGGCAGAGAACTGAACATGAGATTTGTACTCCATCAGCTCTCACACAGGACTGAAACAAAACTGCAATCCTGGTACATTTGGGTATGAATTACAAAATTACAGATAATGACTGGTGTTGGAAAAAGGTATTGCGATGGACACATAGACATCTTCTCTTCATGTTTTTCTATATCAGCATCAATTTCCAGGCTGAGATCAATTACAAGTTCAGCCCCTACCCATTCCAAATAGGAGAAAAATAAAAACCTGAGGAGCTTTCCAACTAGGTGAACATGTAGTAAAATAAGCATTTACTATGCAACACATAAAGAAATCCCTGAGGAATAAGGAAAAACTAGTAGTTTAGACTGCAGCAGAAGATAAATCACCTTGGATTAGTTGCTGTAATACAACCAACTCTAATCTTTGTTCCCTGTGCTAGTTGACACTAGATTAGACCCATCGAGTTTAATTGCATTCATCTCCTTCAAAGACACTCAGCTGTGCTCTTCCACAAAGGAGTGGCCACTCTCATCAAGCCAGACTGACAGATGCAGAAAACTCACAGCCACATAGAACACAGCACATAATCTTGAAGATAAAAGGGCTGCTAATTTTCTCAACACTTTATCACTGTTCTGAGGGAGTGAAGGAAAGTATGTGCCATCTCCTCGCTGCTTTTGTCTTACTTTTTCTTCACTCTGCTTGTTTCACATGTACAACCACATGAAATTCTTTAATGTAGACAGCATTTTTCTCATTCTGTAATACACCAGGGCTCCAAAACCATGGATGGAGATTGCAAACAATAACACTGGGTATGCTCATTATGTATGTTATTACGTTTGTAGTACTGCATGATTGCAGATTTTTTCCTTTTCTTCCCTAAAAAAAACACAATTTATGACTTCACAGAAAGAAGGAGTACATCTCAAAACTGGTGAAATAAATACATTTCAGAGCATAGCTCAAGAAAAGAAGCCCCTATTCAGCAGCAACAATCACTGTAACAGCTTTAGAGCTGAAACTTCCAAAATCTATGTTTTTCATACATATTAGATTTTTAAATGATGAGCACTTTAAAGATGCAGCTACACATCCAGAGGATTTAAAAGAAGTTTAAATGAAGCCAGGTGCCAAAGTCAATGGGAATTACTGTTCGACTCATCTACAGTCTTTGTGAGATTTACAGAGGCTGATCTCTGCATCCTCCAGTGCCTTAGTAAATATAAAACTAATCATGGTGGTACCACGCTAGGAAAGTTGGTATTATCATCATACTTTTAGCAGGAAACATGCATGCTCTAAAATTAGTATTTTTTTATGTTTCTGTGGGTTGCCATCAGCCAGTCTCAAGTCTGATCTTTAATCAGACAACTCAATTAAATTGGCATGACTTTACTATAGGGGTAGAATTTGTAATGCAGATGTGGCACTCTTCAATTTATGGAAAAAACCAGATTTTTAATGTTTCATAAGTATTATGTAATCTATACTGATTTTTGTTAGGAAAATAGAATTAATAAAGTGTTAAAAGAATTAGAGAGAGTAGACAGAAGAAGTCTTAGTACATTAACGCTCAATCAGCTCTAAATAACCTAGGTTTTGTGTGTTTCTCCCACTCACATTATTAATTTTTTTGATCTCTTTCCTCTTACCTGCAAGAAAATGAAGCTTTCATATAACTTCATATGCTAAACAGAAGCTAAGCCTGTATTTACAGTAGTTAAGAGCAGTATCTCCTTGGACCTTCAGTTTTATTAGTAATCGGTGTTCTTTAGAAGATCAACAATATATGATTTTTGTTATTGTTTACCATTTTTGTTTTGATGTTTTTACAAAATAACTGCCTTTATCTCCCTGGAATCCAGCCCTTACTTGGAAAACTTCATTTGATTCAGAAACAACAAAACTACATAACATTCAGTGGTTTTATACCTATCCATGTACTTTGAAATCAGCCGACTGTTAAAGTCACTCACTCCCATTCTGCTTTTGGCAGCTTCTCTTTTATTTCCTGTTGTGTTTCTTATTTCAGTGCTGCCAAATGCCACTATCACTGCCATTGCCTGCACACAGCCCAGACCCCTTTCCCAAAACATAAAATTTTAAAATATCTTTTTTGAAACAGAAAGCCCGCAGCAGACATTTCAGCACCCATCACCACCCTGACTTGTCAGTGCACTGCCACAGACTCTACTCAGGGCAGGGATTTCTTCTTCCCATTCCCAAAGTACCTAAAGACATTGGGGTTGACATACCAAAAACGATGACTCACAAACCTTTGTTGACTTCATTCTTCCTTTGCTTCTACAGAACAAATGGGGGGAAGAGGGAAGAAAGGTTGAAAATTAAATAGTTTTGTAATACAATGGCACATGACATTATTTTTTCACGGATATGCTTTTCTGAACTGTATCATAGGTTACCATCAGCAAAGCTGGGCATGAAAGCAGAACACCATGGGAAAGTTTCTCTAGTAGCCTAGGAGCTGTGACAGTCTCCACAGTATTCAAACATACATCTAACCAGAACAGGCACCTTCACGTTGACTTGTCCAGGATACATGCACTACTACACAGTCAGCCTTCACGCAATGATCGCTTCCTTCACCATGGCTTTTCAGGTGCTCCACATTTTTATTTCACCTCTCCTTTTGTCCTGCATCTCTTCTACACTGATATCTTTAAAGAGGATCCGAGTGATAACACAGGGTCTATCTTAACTGAAATACATATTTTTTTCCCCCCTCGGAGGTTAAGGTAACCAGCGGGCCCCTTTTACCTCTATGTTTGTACAGGACTTGGTACAGTGGTTGGACTCAGTGGGCTGTTCAATGATTTTTATAAATCCTAGTGTGATAAATGTTCATATTCTGAAATCAAGCAAAATGAGATATCCCAAATCTGCAGTGTTTTTTCTTAAGACAAATTCAATATTCATGAGTGTATATGTGTGTGAAATTGCTCTACCTTCTGAAAATACAATGCAGCAGCAGAGTTGATGTTGATGATGATGATTATTATCATTAATTATTATTATTTACTGCAACCAGAAAGAAGATGACATCCAGCATGAAATACTTAGCGGAAAGAATGGGTAGCTGAAAAATTTTCACACTTGGCTACCGCAGATTTTTCTTGGTAGCAGCAGCCAGCCAACATCACTTCAGAAAACCACAACGGCTACACACAACAATGAGCATGAGAAGGTTCAGACACTATTCCACAGTGACACAGATTTTGTTAACTCATACAAAAACAGACTAAAATGGATCACGTAATTGATGAGGTTGGAAAGGACTTCAGAGAACATCAAGTCCAACCAATGACCAAACACCACCATGTCAAACAGACCATGGCACTGTCATCTCCAGTCACTCCTTAAACATCTCCAGGGAGAGTGACTCCATCACCTCCCTGGGCAGTCCATTCCCGTATCTAACCATCCTTTCTGTAAATATGTTCCTCCTAATGCCCAACCTATAACTTCCGTTGGCAGAGGTTAAGACGGTGCCCTCTTGTCCTGACACTGGTTAGCTGGAATAGGCTGACTCCTCAACTAGAGTCACATCAGGGGGTGGGAAAAAAAGGGTTCACAAATTAGCCATCTTGTGTGTATATTTTGGGCCTTCTTTATAGATAATACTTTTCCCAGTTTGCCTATCAGGGATCAAAAAGTGTACTGATAATTACATATTGACATAAATCAAAATTTGCAAGTAATATTTCACAACTATTTCAGTTCTGTCACTTGCTCTTGCACATTGTAAAGTGCCAGAAACACATAGTAGTTTGGTTTTTTTTATTGTTATACATCTATGGAGTTTTTCTGCATTAGTATAATGTTCCAGAAACATGTAAAACTAACTTAAGTGTTCTCAGCAGCTCAAATAAATTACCAAAGATATTTTCTAAATTCCTTTCAGAAGGGTACTGCTCAGCTCTACCCTCCTCCCTTTGCAGTAATCATTGAAAGGTATTACTGAAGAGATAAAAATCTCTCCTGCTGTTCATCTGCTGAACAGGCCAATTTCAAGCTTGATTAATGGGCCCAAATCAAAGCTTCATTACAAGCAAAGTTTCAGTGTTACCTACTGCTATTATTACAAGAAGCAGTTAAAGCATTTTCATCTTTTGTTTTTCTCTTAGGATGAGGTGACTTTGCATCTAAATATAATAAATGCATTTAATGTGATGAAAGACAACAGTCATCAGGAGGCAATTAGAGAGACACATCACCTCTCTAAACATTACTTAACATGCTTTCTGGTTGACTTCATCCTTTGTCTGTATGGACAAATTAAGGAATTTGGAATTCCCCTGACACTTTCTCTCACAGCTTTTTCAAAATGATTAACAAGGAGCTGCTGTATTTATTCCCTAAACAATAAAAAGGGTAATTGCTAAGACATAATTAAGTGCTTATGCAGGGATTTGTGCAAACAATTCGTTCTAGTGTTTTTACTTTGTCAGTGGTAAATAGAGTTAAATAACTTCTGTAACAGAACTACTTAAATAGTAGATTTAAAAAACAGACCATCATGCAATGCCAACAGCTGCAGTTTTCCTACAACGCCTACTATACTTTAGCGCAGCCAACGGAATGCAAATATTCTAGAAATACTTTACTATATTGGTATATACACAACTAAAAACTTATTAGTGCTGTAGTTTGATTTACCAGTTGTAACTTACATTTTATAAACATGTAATTTCCAGCATGTTTTTGAGCCCCAAAATCAACACTCACAAACTATTTGACTTCAGGTTGGTTAAAATGTGGAGCAGGTTGCTGTCAACTCTGTCACTAAGCAGTGCTAGCAAAAAGTTTGTAATTGGGTCATAACAGTTGTATTTAATATAATGGCCGTTGTTTTTGCCACCACAAACTACCAAAATTCCGTATTTTTTTGTCTCAGAACAATATAGCTTCATTACAGAATTGATGTTAATTATTCAGGAGATAATAATCTGTTCACACAAATAAATTGTTTATCCTTTGGAACACAAAGCTTTTACAAGGTTCGTATTATAACTCTAGTACAAGAGTTTGATCCTTCTAAGCAATATCCCCTACTGTCTCCCTTAAATTCACATCAAAGCCAGCAAACCAGTTTCAAAGGAGGAAGAGATCCAAAGAAGAAATTCTTAGATAACTATAAATTCTTGATCTGTGCAAGCTACTCCCTTCTGCAGTACTTAGTAAGAACAATCTTTCTGGCCTTGAACTTGTAAAGATAAGCTATAATGATCAGCTGAAGTTCATGGGGCTTCAATTGCACCACGCACAGACCACCGGGTACAGCTCTGCACCTGCAGGAGTTCTGTTTTGGGGTTGGGGTTTTTTGTTTGCTTTGGAGTTTTGGTTGGTTGGTTTTTATTTTGTCTGGCTGGTTTTTTGGGGAATTTTTTTTTTTTTGGGGGGGGTGGGGTGGTGTTTAAAGGCGACATTAAATTGAGTATTGCAAAGATGACTTACAAAGGGGGGTATTACAAAATATATACAAAATTGAGTATTACAAAGATGACACAGCCAGCCTGTGTCAGCCCCTACAGCAACACCGACAGAAGCGGGGGAAGGAAAGGGGGCATATTTCCAAAGTCAAGACTTTATTCCGTAATAGGGGAACTGCCAAAAAAGCCCCAAGCCCTAAGCAAACCAACCCCCTAGCCCTTCCCGCCTTGCCCCGTCCCTGGGTTACCGCGGTTCGGCCGCGCCGCTGCCGCCGCCAGGCCTGGAGCCGCTGAGGGCCGCAGCCGCGCCCCTGGCAACGCGTCCCGGGGAGGGACGGGACGGAGAGAGGGCCCTGCCGGGCAAGGGGGACCTCCTCGGTGCCTGCAAGTGAGCAGTAGTCACAAGGGGAAGCTCACAGAAACGCCGGGGTTTGTTGTCTCTGTTTTCACTTGAAATAATCATTTACCTGAGAAAATTCACCTCAAAACACAGTCAGAAGAGGCGAGCGGAGCAGGTGGCACTTGAGAAGCGGCTCCTATTACCCAGAGAGGCTTTTCTTCCCCCCCCAGAGCCTACCAAAGGAGCACCCCCGCCAAAGCAGCCTTCCTTGATGGCTGCTGAACTGCCTCCAGGTGAAAGAGCACCTCCTCCTCTTCCTCCTCACCTTTCATCCAACTAAAGTGGATAAATATGGGAAGAGAGGAACCGAAGGTTGTATACGGTAAAAGAAAGTTAGACCTGCGGGTGTATGGGGGCTGCACGTCATTTTCTCTGAAGACCCTGTGAGCTTTAATCAGCATGTGGGGACAGTGCCATCGCGCACCATTTCTGAACTCAAAGGTCGAAAAGTACTTCACCTTTCTCAGGAATGCTGACTTAATCACGTTTTCCAGAGAAGCAAATGCAGAAGCTAGGGGGAGTACTAATTTTTTTTGTCCTTATGTGCCTGATAGCGTTTCACTGCTGTTGCCGAAGACACAGAAAGCCCCCAGGCAGAGGGTTTTGCCGGCGTGGATCATGCTGCTCCAGCATAACCTCATTCTGCAATCCCAATCTATTAAGTATTTTTGACGGGTTAAATTTGTACAGACTGTCTCACATAAACCCAGAGGAAATCTGGCACGTTTTACTATCCACTGCAAATCTGAACAAAAATATCATCCTGGATTTGTCCAGCATTCGACTACAGCCTAATCCGTCCTACTACGGGAGTGGAGTGCAGAGGCAGGATTAAGTGATTGGGAAACTTTGTGCTAACTTCCCTGGAAACGTGCTCGAGCACTTCCCCATCCCTAGTCCTGCAGTGCCACGGCTGGTTCGGGAGTTACACTTCAGCTGCTTCTGAACGCTTGGTGATGGGGAGAGAGTCCTCATACAGCTGTATTTTACGGCAGATCTATCAAGTTATTTGCCCTTAAAAAACACACTTTATTCTGACGAACTGCAACAAAATAAAAAAAAAAAAAAAAATGAAGAAAAATAAAAATGTGTAACACTCTGAGAGAACTAATACCCACTCTTCAAGCCATTTGACTGAGGAAAAACTACCTTATTACACAATGCTCACACTTTAAAATGTTTTACTCTTGTTCACTAGTATTTAAAAGTATAGTTCTGCAAAAAATTTCATGTTTCTTTTTCCTCAACAGGGACAGGAAACAATTCAGGAAGGGTTAATTTCGGATTTTTTAATTCTAAATAATTTCAGGGAATCATTTTCATTAATCAAATTCTTCATGATGTATTTGATAAAGTACATGGAAAGGATGTTCTCAGCCCTGAGAATGATGCAAATCTCTTGAATGTAGGTACCTAATAAAACCACACTAATTTTTGAAAGAAAAAATAATTTTAAAATTACTACAAACTTTCCTTTCCATGAAAATGCTCAGTGTTGAGAAAAGATGCTAAAATTGATCAGTGTTATGAAACTCCAATTCCAGTACCTAGTACACTCAAAAATCAGTACCAGCTGATATTCTGCAGGTGTCTAAACGAGAATGGATGTGTACAAAAAATGTCAAAGCCAGAAGTCATGTGGTGATGTCCCTGTGACAAGCACATGTGATGGGGTCGGCAATCTTCTGAAGGAAATAACCTGGTTTTACAACCCTGGACTTCCCCACCCTGGACAAAGGAGGTGGTGAAAATGCAATACATATATGGGGAAAGTAATCAGGCTTGGGAAAAAAGTAGAAATCCATGTAAATGAAAGCTGCTGCTGCTGCTGTATTAGATCATTTTCAGTTTGAGGAACTTAAATCAGACACAGAGTCCTTGAAAGTCCAAACTCAACCCATGCAGCTATTTTGAAAATCCTCTGTATGTGGATCTTAGGTTTCCATGTATGTATGAAAACTCCCTGATTTGCCCCAGTCAACTAGTTCCTGTTACTGCTTCCCCATCACAATCCAGCAAAGTAGCAGCAAAACTTCCAAGGGCCAATCTAACATTATGGTAACAGTCAAAGCTGTGTATCCAATACATGATGAAGGCACTCAAGTGTTGCTCGAATTCAAGATTACCTGAAAACAAGAATACAATCAACTACAGAAAAATGGGGATGCTGTTTGTTCACATAAAGACACTCAAGCTCTCACTGCAAGTTGTAGGCCCTTCTCTCTCTGGAGTAATTTACCTGTCTCCAAATTCTCTAACCTTAGCCCAGGGGCACACATACTCATTGAGTGGAAATAGGACCACTGTGCAGATAACACAAGAATCCCTGGACAGAAGGAAAAGTAGGTGGAAAAACCCTTCAGCTAGCTTGAGGGAGCACTCCTGGACCCTAACTCTTTTTTCTGAATTATTCTGCCTTTTACACAGATCCTAGACTAAAATTAACAATTATGTGTGTATATAAACCCTCTAGGACCAAAACTCAGTGCACTTCCTGACCTATGACAATTAGTGATACTTTTTTGGAAAGTGGGAGATAAGACATTAAATCTATTCCAAATGCAACTGCATGAAATGTATCATCAGACCCTTCATCAGAGTCACTTGGAAAGCATCAGCCTTACCACGGTAGTGTGAGACCAATCATTTAGTTAACATTAAAGAAAGCAAATAAAAAGCCCATAGTATATATCTTGATGTATCTTACCTCAGCTTTTAATCTTTTACTTCATTAGACTTGGAAGAAGTGGAATCCCACGAAAAATAAATTTCTGCAAGGATGAAAATTTTTCTTCAAATGGAGTCTAAAAGATTATGATTATGTCACTTACTGAAAAGTGATACAACTGAAGCAGCACACAAGTACTGAATATGTTTATTCACTCTAAGTCATTGTAAGAGGACATTTTGTATTTGTTTCACAGTGGAAACAAAGCCAGATGAACTAAACCTCAAAAAAGCACTGTAAATAAAACCCCTTCTCACAATGTCTGCAGAATTCACAACTGCAAAGCTGAGGCAGAATATGGATTAATCCATAAACTAATTCTTAATTCATGTAAAAAATACACATAAGTGGACTTTTTATTTGCAGGCTGTAAGGAATAGAAGCATATCAACAAGAATAAAAATGTACAGAAGTTTTCAAAACCTTTTTTAGGGGAAAAAAAAACAAAACAGAAACAAACAAGAAAACAAACAGTCCATGTTATAGGATGTTTTCCCTCACATGTGTTCTGCCACTAGCACATGGAAAGAAAAGGACCACTTTAACCAGCACATTCTGAGTTTTATTTTAAAATCCTTAGATAAGTGTTAGGTGAATTTCAACTTACATTTTGCCTTAAATAAAAATAATTACAAGCTTTTGTTCTGTAATTTTGGGTAAACAGAAAGCTGGTAAGCAAACAAACTTTAGTGAAAAAAACCCAACAGTTCTGTACAAGATTCCATTTTTGAATTTTTATTTTAGACACAATTAAGGGTTTCTTTTTAGATTAAAACCATTTCATAGAGTAATTTTCATGCAACAGAGTAAACTTTTTTCCTATGCTGTTTGACAGCACAGGAGATAAATGTTCACATGAACAAGCTGTTAACCATGAATGCAAATAACACTATGAACTTTAAAGAAACTATTTCAACAACAACAGTTATGGTTCATGGGACACCAGCAAGGTGTGTAAACCGAAGTGTTTTGGAAATATTTTAGTTGCAGCAAGAGTAACACCAAAATATTTCCATTTTTGCTGACAAGACATGGAGCACCTATCAGTTCTAGAAGTGATTCTGGAAATGACACCATCACCTGCACCAACCTTAGTAATTAATTACCAGATACATTTAAGAGATTGTCAATTATTTTTAAGGTTTTGAAATTTTAACCAGAGTACAAGTAGAGTAAATATTAGAAAATTCCTTATTATTGTCCTGTCTTGTTACAGAAGAACATTTTATGATACCTATCTCTTGCATCTGTATCTTCCAAAACCTCACTGAATAAATATGCTTTACAGGTTTAGGCATAAAAACTGTTTAGGCATAAATTCTGTTTCAAAGAAAAAAAAAATCAGAAACTAAGACCTGAATTATTTTAAGATGGCTTCACCAGCCACTAAAATAGTATAACATCTGTCTTGCACAAAATTATATAATTTATTTCAATATTCTTACAAGCCTCTAATTATACAATCAATTTATTTTCCACATCAAACAATTTATTTTAAGAAACCTTATATACATAAGAAATTATTGTAGATATCTTACATGGTAACTTATCAAGTATTCAGACAGATGTGTGTACTGCCTTTCACTCTGCCTGTGACATTACTTTCCTCCTATTTCATCAACAATGAAACTGACTTACAAATACAGTTGTTCAAAAGGTAGAAGACAAAAATAAAAAGTAAAAAACATTTTTTTGTTGTGGTCCTCAGAATTACTGAAAATGCCTTTGGATTTTGCCATAAATATTCAAACGGCATATGAAATTAAAATCTCAAAAATTTGGATGTACAAATCAGTAGCTCCTGAGTTACAGTGTAGAAGCATTTTGGGCAATCAGTTGTAACACAGATATACAGAAGGAACTTTCTCAAATACTCAAGTAAATAAAAATGTATTATAGCACATGCTATTGTTCTAACAAATGCTTCAGGTTGTCTTTTTAAATTCCACCTAAAAGCAATAGGTTCATGCTGCCATTTCATGAAGCTGTATTACAAAGAGTAATTAACACTGAATAGCTACAAAAGCATTTCCTATTTTCAAGTAAACTGTAGCAAACCCATCAGCAGAGCACTGTGCCTCACTGGAATATGTCTTCACAACCTTGTGGTGTCATGGGGGACTGTAACACTGCATTTACAGCAACATTGATGTTATTTTTTTCTTTTTTTCATATAATCAATCAAAATTTTACAAAAATATAGCCAACAAACATAAAAGCATGCTGCATATTTAGTTCTGCCTAGAGACAGCACTTTGCAATTACAGCTATAGAAGTCAAGCATTTGGAAGCTATGGCTGGGCATTCCTTACACAACCACATAGTCACAACTGTGTATTGCCACAAACTTCTCTTTGTGAGGGGCAAAAGATGGAAAGTGCACTTTTAATCAGCTGGAGAATAGAACTATTTTTTTTCAGCATGACATCATGTCATACATTAGCATTCACATGCTAAGCTAAGAATTACATGTCTTGTAGTAATCTTTATAATTCAGTAATACTGAGCAAACGCCACTGCATCTCCTAATAGATTTTGTATTTTGTAGGACTGTATTTATCGTAACTTCATGCTATTAATTTTCTCTGGTCTGCATTATGAGGTCTCAGAAGTAACAGCCTGAAAGTGCCCTGGGCACAGGGACACATTAACAACTAGTAAAAAACTAAATCAAGTTTCTTAGCATGCGTAAGGATTGTGTAAGAGGCAAATCTATTTGTCAAAGGTGGCCTCAACAGTGACTTTCTCTTCTTGTCCATTATACACTTTTAAACCTCTCCAGCAAATTAAGTCAACACCTTACAAACAATCTGAGTGCAGGCAAAGCAGATTTTGTCCTCAATTTTGTCTCTCTGAGCAAGGTATGGTGTTCTTACTCCACAACTTCCATCTCTCAGTTTTTGACCCAAAGCTTTTGCTTCAAAATGCACTTGAAACAATTTAACAGCATTTTCAGAGGTGGGACACTGAGGCTCCAATGCACACATTCATAGTGTCCTTTACACATTTGATCAAAGCACTAAAGCTGGAGTGCTGCTGAGCTCTCTCTGGTCAGAGAAACCTTCAGCAGTCTGACCTTCAGCTTTCTTGACTGGATTTCTAATTTCTGCAGTTCAGTCAGGTGCCTAATGATGAGGATGAATTCACCCTGTAGGAGCATTAAGTCAAGGATACAAAGGAGATGAGAGCAGTAAACCCCGGTCTCAAAATTATAACCCTCCCTACAACTGCCTCATAAAAATCCTTGCATCTTTGTTTTTGAATACTTGACCTTGGAACCTTAAAATACCCTTCCAGATTTAAGAAGAAAATAAACACAAATAATAAAAGTCATCAGCATTTGGAACATATTTTTCCACTGTATAGATCTCTGTTGTATGAACATAACGAGCAGCAGCTTTTGAGACCAGGGTAGAAGAGTAGAAATGGGTACCTAACAACTCCAGTTAACCTGTATGCCATATGCTTTTCTACCCTGTACTTCTCTGTGCAAATGGGGCTGTATATCCTCCCTGAAAATTAAGGCAACCTTCTCAAAAAACAAACAAACAAAAACCCCCCAAGCAAATACATTTGAAAAATAAAAATAAATACCTCAACAGAAGGAAGCAGCAGTGCTTGAATCTCATACATACACTGCTGACAGGCCACCTGCAGATCAAGTCTGCATTAAATCTAAAATCCAATTAATGCAACTGCTTGGCTCTCATTAATTTTCTGTTTGGGAAGGCTTTTCTGTGTGCTTCTTTTTTGGTAGAGCTTTGTAAATAGACAGTATGTTCAATATTCTTAAAATGAGATTGTCCTGTCTCCCACTAACCTTTGTACCAGATGGGACAACTCTCCCTCAGGCAAACTGGCTAACATTCACTTGTGCTTTAAAATTGAAATTCAATTTCCAATTCTACATGAATATTTACAAGCTGTCACCCAATAACTTATCACTTAATGTAACACAAGCTACACTCAAAACATCAAAAGAATCTGTCTGTAATTAATTTCTGAATTCTCTAAAATAGTAACTTTAATGCAATGCATGGAATGACGTGGAGCACAAATTATTCTGAAATAAGTAAATTCACGCTAATGTGGCACTGGGGAAATTGTTTCTGAAGCAAATTTTTCACTTGTTAAGCTTTCACTCATTAAACTCATACTCACTGATGAGGAAAAAATAATAAGGACAACTAAATATTCATCTTAAAGATCTTCTGACATTGGACATTAGGAAAACAAAATTGAAATGCACATTAATTTACGTATACAAAGACAGTTTATAAGTTTTTGCACAACATTAAAGTCTTTCACAGGACAAAAAGAACTAATCACTTGGGAAGAAAAAGCACAAAAAAAATCTCTACTGAAGTCAAGCGTGGAACAGAGAAAGCCAATTAAAGTCAGACTTAATCTCTCTTTCAGAATATTACATATTATTTGACTAGAGACCAGCATCAAACTGAATTACCCCATATTTTCCACTTACCATCCAGTCAGGTTCAGAAGCCTGAATTTGTTCACCTTGTCCAGGTTTCAGGCCAACCTGAGTGTCAGATTTCAGTGTTCTCAAACTACAGAGAGGCGCAGGATGAAACTTATTCAAGGCTTGATGAAATGTGACACTGTATTCCCATTTTCTATCTCCTGTCAATTTTCTATAGTTTAGATCGCCTTTGAAAAGGAGCAAGTTTGACTTCTGTAGCTCAGCATATAAGTCAGGAGCAACTTCACTCGTACTGGAAAAATCATGTGGTAAAGTCCAAAACATGTGGTCACGGAAAACCCAAACTCCCTTTTTCAAATTGCCCTCCCAGTTTATCCCACATCTAGACATCCACATATGATTAGCTGACCCCAGCTGTTTAATAGTCCAGTTAAAATCATGCTTTGTGGTATCTGATACATACCATGGAATACTTTTTCCATGAAAATAGACTTCATCAGCTAGCTTTGATGATAACAAGAAATCAGCCAAAACAAGATCACTTACAAGTTCAAATCCAGCATTATCCAGGATTATGTCAACTCTAACATTACTTCTTTCTGTTCTATTTTTTTTGGCATTTACAAGAAGTGACCAAACTTTTTCCATATCATTCACTAAGATGTAAGGTACCATGTTTTCCAGGGATTGCAAGGGACTAGATTTCTGAGAGCTGTCTTCACCAGCTGAAAAAGAAAGGTCACACTTATTGCCCCACAATGACACCTAGAAGGAAAAAGAAGAAAAAACAAAACCATCATTTACTAAGTCTCACTGTAGTTACATTCTCAACTTCACATACACTGAAGATTTTGTTCCCTTTTTTTTTTGTTTTAGGTAATAAAGGTTCTAATTCCACATATTCTTCCAAGCTTTAATAAAACTCAACTTCTTGTTCTTGGTATCTCAACATGAACAAGATTTTGTGGAAGAAACCAAACAAAGCTCTGTATTTACACAGGCATCAAAGGTGACAAAGATGGAAGATTTAGATGAACATAAACACACTGATCACAAAGCTCGGAACAGAAATATTCTCCATACTGCAATTCCAAAAAGTATCAGTGGTAACACAGAAAAAGAATTAATAAAAGCAGAATAATTTTTTTACTACATGCACCCAAATAAGTATTTTAGATCTGTGTATTTTAAGTACTTACTAATGAGCCCTTTGTAAAGATTCATCAAATACTGTGCGAACACTGTTGCCAGCTAATGGACTTATTTGTAACCCTACAGTAGTTTGGGGTTTCTATCCACAGGCACTATATTCCAAGAATAATGCTATTATAAAGCTTTTAAACCACTTCTGACCCAGACTGACTTCTAATTTTTTCTCCAAAAACATTTAAAGTGCCAACTAAAATTAACTGTTTTAAGAAATTATAGGTAACTTCAAAAAGGTCATCTGGAATTTAACTTAAAATGTTTGAGAGATTTTGAAGGAAGAATTGCTGGGTTTCCATATACACAATGAAGACCAGCAGTTAATAAAAGAGTGTCACATTTAATACAAGTACCCAAAATATAAATATTTTCAGAATAGCAGCAATACAGTAGGGCTATCAGGACTTCATCACACTTTTACAAACCAAAGATCTATATCTTAATTTCTACATGAAGTTCAAATTCTTTGTTTTCAATTCTTGTGTTAAGTACTACCAGTTTACCTGCAATAGCTTAAACAGTTCCTCCTGAAGCTGCTTTTCATCTAGATCCTTGATGTTCTTAAGAAGTTCCTGAAAGTAAGTGCATAAGGCAATAACAGCTTCTTGGGATTCAAAGAAATTTTGAGCCTTTCCTTCTTTAAATACATCAAAGTTGTCAATAGGTGGGCTAAAAAGAAAAGAACAAATATGTTGATATACTTCCCACATTCTCCATTACAACACATGCAGAGGAACCTCAAAGGTCAGCTTTTTTAGACTGTACAGACCCTAGTTAGATTTTCCACTTCTAATTTGTTATACTAGATTTTCACACATCTTCATAACTGCTTAATATTGCATCTTGCTAAAACAGACACTATTCAAGGCATCTTTATATAGCAATATATTCTGAATGTGAACAAGTATTCAATCACAGCAACTCTGGGAACTGCACATGCAGTGATCATCTTGAACTCCAACCTTCAGACAAGAGAATTAAAATTGTAACATATAAGTGAACTACAGTAAAGAAAAGCTGGCCTGATTTTAAACATGTTTGTGTGTGCTGGAATGTACTTCCCATACCGAATTCTGTTCCACTGATAGGAAGTTATTCCTATGAAAGTCTTTACTATGATTTCAGAAAATTACCATGACAAATTAGAATGTTGTAATATATAAAAATTATAGACCAATCTCTTATGAGACATATTTCCACAACGACCTTTCAACAAATGATTGAACTTCCATCCAAGTTGATGGATTTAGTTGCTTAAGAGCAACTAAATAACAGAGATCAAGAAACTTAAAAGTTAATAATGAAAAGTATCTGCTCAGCTTTTAAAGTGCAATCCAGCAGATCAACCTCATATTTGAAGCTTTTGGTACAAGAGTTCAAATTACATAACATACCAGTAGAAACTGAGTCCCAGTACTGTGTTTGCATCTCCACAACACTAAGGGTAAATCCAGTACTTGCGAAGCTTTCAAATTTTTTTGGCAGCAACAGGATCTTAAACTGTTCATTCCTATCCCATGACGTTGTACTGGCACATCTCCATGGTACCAGCATAACAAGTTTTTCCTGCCCAGTTATTTTTAACCAGTATCAGCTCCCAAAGTTCAATGCAACACATGGTCTGCAAGCACTGCTGTAACTAAGAAACTGGTGTAGAATGAACAACAGGGACTGGTTAAGATAGGTCTACTGCTGTAAGAAACAGTTCTCAAATGGTAACTTCTGATTGCAAGCGGCAAAACAAGTTAGAATTCCCAACAGATTTGTGGCTCTCATATTGTTTAAGGCTTAAGAGAAAGCCTTATTCTAGAAATTCTAGAAAAATTGTCTACAACAAACCTTGTAGAAATGCTAGGTGATTTTCATATCTCAATTCACATTAGTCTGCAAGGTTAAGCTATACAGCCAAGCTCAAGAGTTTTCTTGTAAACCAACTCAGCAAAACTGAAGCATAAAAAAATTAATAAGCTTCAAATTCAGGGGAATGTTAAGAAGTATTAATGTTAAATCTGAGGTGCAAGATGAGGAAAATGGTAAAAGCTTAAGATCTTCCTTTATCTCACTCCTCACATGTCTTTCTTTTTCCCAAAATAAAAATGGGGAAGAGCAACATTTTGCGAAATAATACACCAAGCCAGCAAATACTTACTTCTGTGCTAATGCTGCATGGATTCTTCGATACATGTAACACTCTACATACAGCCAAGGGGACTGAAACCAACTTGGTTCTCCATTGCTATTTGGTAAATTTCGTTGGTAGTCCAAGTATTGGTTCCACAATGCAGCATCAGGCAACTCATCTTCCAAAGGGGTCACTGGCTTGTCTGTTTGCAGCTCATTCCGCAGTTTGGAGAGGAAAGATATAGCTCTCTTCTCTGCTTCAACACCCTTCTGAAAGAAGTGGAGAACAAAAGTTCCTATTCTGTACATTTATTCCTGTAGAGACACAGATCAACTGTTCATGGAATGTGTGTTTTTTTAACTGCCTTATGAGAGTCCCTGACAAATCACAGCTTGATTCAACAAAATTTATTTTGATCCTAAGATCAAAGATCCTATCCAAGATCCTAAGATGAATTCCCTATGGAACTTCTTTTTAGATTGGACTTTTTGCTTATTTGAGGTGAAGAGAGTATTGAAACACAGTCATGTTCAGAAGGTGTTACTGTCTATCAAACACTGCACCAACACAAAATCCCAAGTAAGTAATGCAGTTGCAGAAGTGACAGATCAGAAGGAAAAGGTTAGACAGAAAGGTGTTTTACAGAATTAATCGAAAATAGCTACTAGAAAGAAAATTATTTTTAAAAAAATCAGGCAAAATGATTGAGACAAACAAGTCTCATCAGTAAAAACAAGGGAGAGAAGGGGTATCAAGGGCTAGAGGGGAAAAAACATCAGGGAAAATAGGGACCTTATTCTTACCTCACCATGTTCTTCAAAAAATTCATTCTTATGTCGATGCAAAGTATCAATAACTCTTGTGAGGATCTGGGGAAGTCTGTCTTTAATTGTAAAATATGCAAAGGATCTAAAAAAGAGATGATCAATATTTTATTATTGTCAGCAATAATGAAATGGCTTCAATTTTTAAAAACAAATGCAAGGTCTTTGTGCTAATTTGGGCTGGGGTAGAGTTAATTTTCTTCACAGCAGCTGGTATGGGGGCTGTGTTTTAGATTTGTGCTGGAGACAGCGTTCACAACAGAGGGGTATTTTCCGTATTGCTGAGCAGGGCTCGCACAGAGGCCTTTTCCGCCTTACCCCACCCCAGCAGCAAGGAGGCTGAGGGCGCACAGGGTCTTGGGAGGGGACACAGCAAGGACAGCTGACCCTAACTGACCCAGAGGCTATTCCAGACCATATGGCGTCATGCTCAGCGGTGGAAACCAAGAGGAAAAGTTGGCCAGGGAGCCACTGCTTGGGCATCAGTCAGTTCGTGATGAGCAATTGCTTTCATTTGCCTCAGTTGGTTTTCTTGGGTTCTATTTCTCTTCCCTCCTTTCATTACGATTTATTCTCATTTCAATTATTAAACTGCTCTTACTTCAGCCTTACAAGTTTTCTCATTTTTACCCTTCTCATTCACCCCACTCTGCTGAGCTGTGTGGTGCTTTGCTTCCAACTGGGGTTATAACACAACAGTATTAGAAGTAGCTTTACATGCCCTTGAAGATATGGACAGCAATAAAAAACAAAACCAAAACAAAAAGGAAAAAAATTTCAAACCGGTCAGGTTCTTGTGCCTGCTTTTGCAGATTATAAACAGCAGTCTTTTCAAGAAAAAGCTAAATTACTGGCCCTGCCAGAACAGCGAAAAATTGCTGTTAATTCGAGGTTAAAACGCGACCTCCATCGCTAAGATACCCAGATGCAAAACTTGGGAAATGTAAAACCAAGAGCACAGCTATCTATTCAAAGTTTATCACGTATCGCACATCAACAAGAAACGCACTCTTCATTATAGACTTGATTTACATTTTCTCCAAACGCTGCTTATGTACGAGGACAACGAGCAGAACGAGGCCAGCCCCACGGAGAGCGCATACCCGGCCTGCAGGACGATTTTTACTGTGAGATCTCCACCCGGTGGGTTGGAGCCGCGGAGCCGAGCACAGCACCGGCACCACCCCACAGCCGGGCCGCGCCGGTGACCGCGGCGGCGGCAGCGCCGCGGCCACAGCGCCGCCTGCGGGCCCCGCGCGCCGCCGGCGCTGCTGTCCCCGCCCGCCCCCCCGGGCCAAGAGCCGCCCCCCGGCCCCGCCCGGCACCCAAAAACCTCCGCTCCCCGGCGGCGGGGCGCCAGACAGCACCTCAGCTCCCTCCCGCCCCCCGCCTCGCTGCCGGTGAGGAGCACGCCAGGCCGTGACGGACCCCTTAAACCTGCCCGACAGGGACACCGGGAGAGCCGGTACCGCCGCCATCTTGCTCCGCCCCCCCGCGAGCCGGCGCGCCGCCCTTCCCCTGCCCCCTCCCGGAAGCGGGCCCGAGCGGCAGCCGGACGTTATTGGCGCGCGGGCCGCGCCCCGCCGCGCGGCGACGGACGGGCGGGGCGTGTCGGCCCGCGCGCCCTGGCGGGGCCCGGCGGGCGGTGGGCGGGGCCGCGGCTCGCGCGGCGGAGAGCGGCGCGCCCCCTCCCCCAGGTCAGTGCTGGCGCGCGGCGGCGGCGGGAACCGCCTCGCCCCTCCCGCCGCGGCGGCGGCGACGGGCGCGCGCGCGGGGCGGGGGAAGGGAGGGGAAGGAGGGCCGGGCCGGCGGCGCAGCGGGTGCCCTTGGCGGCCCCGCGCGTCGGCCGGAGCTGCGGCGGAGCCCGCGCTGCGGCACGGGAGCGGTGCGCAGCCCTTCCCGGGACAATCCCGGGGCGGTGGGGCCTGCCGCAGCGGCCGCGAGAGGCGTCTGGGCAGCCGAGTCGGCCTCGCCCGCCTTGCGGGACAGTTCCGATCCTGCCGCGAGCGGGAGCGCCCCGCGACGCTCCTCACGAGGAGGGCGCAGTTTTGGGGCGAGCCACGAGCCCTGCCTGTGGGTTTGAGGGGCGATTCCCAACCCCGTGCTTCCCCCCACCCCAGGGTGCCGCTCATGGCGGCCGGAGCGGGGCGGCTGCCGGGCGCCCCCCACACCCCCCGTGTTCGGGTATCGCTGCGCGGGGGTGACGCAGCAGCGGTGGAGGCCGCGGGCCCGAGGGGGGGCGGCCCCCCGCGAGCTGGCGGCGCTGCTCTCCGCGCCCGCCAGGGGCGCCCGTCAGGCGCGCACGGTGGGGGCGGCCCCGGCGGCCTCGCTCTGCCCGCGCGGGTGGGGCGGCCTCACCTTCCGATTGGTCGGCTGTCGGCCCGCTGTGCCCGCCCCTCCCGGCACGCAGCCAATAGGAGTGGAGCCCTCGATCCTCGCTTCCCTTCCCCCGCGGCGCCGCCGGGGGCGGTGCTGCCGCTGTTTTCCTTGGAGCAAAGGGCGGCAGTGCGGGGGCAGGGAAGAGGCGGAGTGTCCCGGCGCCCGGGGCTGGCGGGCTCCAGGGGCAGCTGGAAGCATCTGGACTGCGTGGGCAGGGCAGGGCTCGCCGGCTGGTCTGTGCCGGTCCCGTCCGCCCGCCGGCGGAGCGGGCCCGTCCTATCCGTACGTGTCGGTGGCTGTGGCGCAGCAAGCCGGGCCGGGGAGGCATGGGGCGTGGCTAAAGTGTGCCGCATGCCGAGGAGACGTTGGAAAATAAATCCCCAGCTCCATGCCGGCTGCTCGGAGGTGGCGCCTCCTGTTCCGTTGTGGTCGCCCTTAGTCCTGCTTTCTTCGTGGATTGCTGTGTTCCGCTCGTTCTGCCTTGGTGCCTGTGGTGCCACAGGTCCGACGCTCAGGCCCCTCGCTGGAATTCAGTCTATATGAGCTCTCTTTCCTTGCAACTTCCTGTAAGGCTGTACAGTTGAAAAATAATTTCTGGTATGATGAGGTTTTTTTGGCTGGGAAAGCCAGCAAAAGCATTTAGAGTCTCTTTCTGCCACTTACCACACATTCCTGGAGACTTTACCCCTTGCCCCAGCTCTCCACCACCTGGGTTACATAGTTTCTGTCGGCTCTTTTTTTATCCAAGAGTTATCAGCCCCTTTAAAAAGGTAAATAAGCCTTGTCCTGGATAGGGTCGCTTTTTAAATACAGAACAAGTTTAAAATTAAAATAGTAGTTGGTCCCAGTAAGTGTGCCAACAACAGGCTTCTAAATTGGGCAAAAACGTGCAAGTGAAGAGCATGTAAAGATACAAAATTAATCCAAATATCAGTTCATCTAGGTATCCTTTTCAGGACAGAGGGCTTGTTCCACAGCACACACCATGATTTGCTCTTTAAATCGAATGTTTATTTGAACTATTGTGTTAAATATATTTTTAAGTATTGAAGATTCTTTTTCAGTTTTTGAAGAATGTTCACAAAGGGGCAGGGTTTTGAACTAGACAGCTTAATGACTTTTTGTTAATAATTTGCTGAGGATGGATTTTGTGTCATAAGGGAAATGTTCTTGATTAAGGAAACCAGATGAGGGCAGGGACTTGTCACTGAGTTTTTTCAGCAACTGAAACACATGCACTGAGGTACTGAATCTGAATATTTTTGTTTTATTAGCTCACACAACGTACCGTAAGTATAGTAGGGCTGCTCTTAGTCTGAGCTGCCAGAATAAGGACACTGTTGTGTTTCAGGCTGCACGATGGCTCTGCAGGCAGGCCTGGTGGTCCCTGTAGCAGCAGGATGTTCTGGCAGGAGCAAGGCTGTGAGCTGGCTCCATTCTCGCTGTGGTCAGAACAGGTGGCTGGGGCTGGGTGTGTGATCAGCTGTTCATGGCACAGCAGCTGGAGCTGATGCTGAGCAGTGTGTGTGTTTTGTAGGTGACATTCCCATACAACCACGTAGTAATCTAATTGTTTTATTACATATCACAGTGGTTCACACATCTTTAACGTGTGTGCTTGCTTGCTCACAAGCAGTGGGGTTACTAAATGTGCAGGCTGCTGCACAGAATGAGCAGCCAAAGGAAAAGATGCCCGCTTGTATATTGACACAGCAATCAGTTCTGTTTTTTCACCACCTGCTGCAGGCACATAGATGTGTTTTGATCTCAGAGTATTTCAATAGGATCAAAAAAATCCTTTTATTTCCACCAGTGTGATGTGCTGAGGAGTACTAACACATGCAAAAGTAATATGGACCACCTTTTAGATAAGAGAAATAGTATTATTTTTTTCCAAAATGTTGATGGATGATTTTGTTTGTTTGTTTTAAATACAGTTCAGAGGGAAGAAATGAGACTGAAACTTCTGCACCTTCAGACGAGATCTTTCCACACTTTAACAACAATATGTCAATGCCAAAGCTTTAACAAAACTGGATGTCTACTATTAAAACCGGATAATGAAGTTGAAAGAGCGGCTCACAGAACAGCAAAGTCTTGCAATTTGTATGCACTGAAACCTGCGTTCCCTTGGTTGACAAGTCAGTATGTGCAAGTCAGGAATTGGCATTTTCTCCAAGGATTTCTGTCCACTTTGGAAAGAAATACTTATTATCAGAGTGGGGAGGGTTTTTTCTCATCCTGGAGACATTTGGGTGTGTCGATGATGGAAAACTACAGGCTCAATAGAGAGTGGATCATAAAGCTTAGGAACACATCATCAAGATTTTATGCAGTTGTATCAGCTGGTAAAATTGTCCCCAAACCCAATAACCAGCCAGTTAAGAGGCCACCAAAGGCACCGAGGACCAAGCAGCCATCCAGAACGAACCTGCCGCTCTCAGACATGAAGGTGAAGTATAACATTTATACTTTATGTGACATTAAGGGAGTGTATCAATTTAATTTACATTCAGATTTGGGTTTAGATGAACATTTTAATGAAATTAGCGTAATTATTTGGTGAGAAGGACTTCATTATTTACACTAGTGTTGGAGCTTTGCAACACTAGTGAAAACCTGATAGAAATGAATTTAACTTTCTCTGCATTTCTTTGCTTATCCAGATCTACCTAGTTTTAAGGTTTGAGTGAAGCAGAAATAAAAGTTTATATTCAGATTAGGTTTCAAATGGGAAATGAATGTGCAAGTGTAGCCTGTGTTACCTGAGAAAGATCATTCCATGTGTAGAAATAGCACCTTGATTATCAGACTGAGGTCTGTAGAGGAGAGGCAGCAACGTACTGTTTCAGATACTGTGGGGTACGATGAGGAAGAACAGTGCATATTTGTAGCCATATCTCCTTAAGTTAGCTCTTAGCCAAGCCATGCCTTAAATACACTTGAATATAGGATTTCCACAGCAAATCTTGGTGTCAGATGCATTACTGTTCTCAGTCTAAAACAACAGAGTTCCAGGGTGTTCTTAGTAAAGTAGTATGATGGATGAGACTAAAACAAGCATTGTGCCTTCAATAATAGCTTCCACACTGCAAAATATATCTGTTATGTGGTCTGCTGAATGTGAGCAGAAAAAAGTTTTACTGCTTGCCTTCTCATAGCTAAGCTTCTGATAAGTATTTTGTGTGATAAGCAGAGGGTATGCTTTAGTGTAACATAAAGAGGTAGTTGTGGACAATTTAGTTCCCACTCACATTTTTATGTTGCTTTGGAAGAGGAAAGTGAAAAAAAGTCCTGAAACATTATGTAATGTTTCTAGCTTTTTAGTCATGCTATGACATTACATTTAGAGTTTGATTCTTCTTGGTTTCTTGGTTTTGGGCGAAGTAACAACATTTTTGAGGCTGTGAAATGACAGCATAGGATGTAAACAGTTTGTTTGACATTTTCATATATATGTGCAAGTAATATGCAGTGCTATTTTTAATTTTTTTCCATTGTGAAGAAATTGAGAAAATACTGCCTGATACACTGAAATAATAATATACTGCCCGAGGAAGCTTCTGCATGGCAAAATGCTGAGCCAGAAATTGCCTCTAGTATTGCAGGCCCTAATGCCAAGGGCATTGCCTAAGGGACATCTCCTTGCCATCTTCTCCTGCCTCTGGAGACAGCAGTTGCAGGCCCAATCCTGAGATTCTCAGTTAGAGAACCCTGCGATCTGTGGTGTTTTCTGTCTGGGCCTGACACCTTCCTTTTGCAGAGCTCCTGGTGAGTGAGGTCCTTCCCATCCTCCCAGCACTGGTCTTCATGTGTTTTTACGGACAGAGTGCTGGGCACCAGCAGTGATAAATTGTTGTACAACGAGTTTTTCAGGATAGATAGAGGAGTTCTTGAAAGCAATTAAGTGGTTTAGTCAGTCCATCAATGAATGGTACCACTACTTGGATAACCTGGTATGATCTGATGGCAGGAAAAAGCCTCTGAGCTAATTCTTAACACTACAGCCATCTAGCATAGAAATAGATTGAAATCCAGGCAAAGACATAGTATTTACTACACTTCAGATGAAGATTGATTCCTGTGGTGATATGAGGACTAAAGTTCATCCTGCAGGTTTTTTTTCTTAAAATTTTTTGTATGTTAAAAGTGGAAGAGAGGAACTAAGGAGAGTTACGATTCCATGAGCCTGTACAGTTCTTGAGGGCACGATGATACAGAAAATGAGTTGTCAACGTACTTAGCTGTCCTTAGGAGTACCCGTCCTGTGTGCTGCTCTGAATAGAATCTCAATAATGCTGTAGGCAGAAAGGAGGAGGGGGTGAGTAGCTCGAGTTCCCTTCTAGCACCACCAATACAGGTGGTTTTTGAAGTTTGCAGGTGAAAGTGATGTAGCAGAAAACACGGCATTAAGTTTGATGAGACATTAAACATGTCTATTTTAGGATTAGCTGAGTCACATGATTAGAGTAGATTTTTTCTCTGTATCTCCACTGGCACCCATGGACACATATTTTAGGTGTCTTAATCACAAATTATGCCTAAGCCGAATGTTCTCTATCAAACAAGATTTTTGCAAATATGTAAGTGAAAGTCACTTTGTAACCAAACCCAAAAGTAGTTCATATCCAAAATGCTGTTTCAGGCATGTAGCTTAGTGGAAAACCTCTGGTTGTAACTAAATGAGAAATGTAGCCATTGAAACTAAAATTGCAGCTGTAAGACAGAAGGTCAATCCTGTAGTGCATTTGCCTTGATATGAAGAATAGCCCAAGTAATAAACTGTGGGAAGCACAAGAGAGCAGGATAGAGGTTTTCCAATTGTACACTAACTACAAGATGAGAATTTGCTCCCTAACTCTTGATAGAAGAGTTTCATGGCAGAGCATGTGTACTTACAGTAACCAGAGCTTTTTGGAAGAATCTTCAGATTCAGATGTATAATTGGCACTGATTATTTAGTGATTGAGAATGGATTTATACAGTTGAAATTGTGATAATGAAACTTGATACTTCAAGGGAACTGAAAACACAGTTCTGTTCCATTGTTAATTCAGCCTTCTAGCAGAGTTGTGGGAATATGCCTACAAAACTGATCTCTGAATATTATAATTACTTTGAAAGCTTATTTTCTGCTCATGGTTGCTGAATTAAGATGACGTGTAAGCAAAGCTTTGGATGTGAGAGTAGAATGTTGACATTAAAGAAGAAAAGTTCAAATGTGAGGTGGTGATTCTAATGATTGATGACAGGCCCTCTGCAGGGAGCAGAACCCCTCCTGAAGCCTTGCTATTTGACAGTGTAACTTGGATTTTAGGTGGAAGTGTATTGTGGGCCTGAATCCCTGAAGATGAGCACAGTTCTTTTGTTCATTTGTTGTTAGTTACATCTCCATTTGTATTAGTTACAAAAAACTGGGAAGTGACTGATCCACAGTGAGACATTGCTTTCTGGATATCTTCCACTACATTGCACTGAAAAACAATTTTGTAGGTTATAAGTGGCATCAGAACAAAGAAATACACTTCAAATGAGTAGTAGAATTTGCAAATCAGTTTATTGTGACTTGTTTGATTAATCAAGAAAATCTCACATCCCTTCGCAAGTAAGAATCATTTTTCGAGTTATTTCTTTGGATATGACATTTCAGTTGCTTGAGATTGTGGGCTAGTGGGACAAGCTGGCCATGGTGTACTGTCTGACTGTGGTGTCAGTGGAGACCGCACAGTTGGTGCAGGATGCAGCTCAGGTCAGGGGAGGGACGCTGTGGATGTGCGGCACCTGCAGCTGGCCCGGAAGGTCGGTGACCTTCTGTGCTGCACTGGCTCAGCCCTCAGAAGTAGCTTGGTGCATGGCAGAACACGATGTTTGTGGTTGGAGCTTCTGCTTGATAAACAGACTGGAGTAGTCAAACGCCATTTATCTTTAAAACATGGGTGTTAAAACTGCTGTTAGGGGTGTCTTGCCTCTGGTTTCAGTGGTCAGCCAAGTATGTCATAAGCCGTGGGATGGGAGAGCAGCAGCAAGTGCAGCTCTACTGTTCAGTTATTTGATTGGCATTTGGGGAAGAAGGGTTATGTTTGTGGCTCTGTCACAGAGTTTTTTGTCTTGACTTCACTCGTGCCACCTGGCTTATTCTCAGTGTGTGATTTGCTTTCCCACTTAATGAGGAGCAAGTGTGCCTGTTAGTGTATGTACACCATGGACATCATGGCAATGATACCACAGAACAGTACATAAATGGAAATTGTCACTGTCTTAATAAATTTGAAGCAAACAGTTGTTTTATTACCATCTTGCTTCAGCCTTGCCCTAACTCAAATCTCTATTCCTTTGGCACAGAATCTGATGCAGTGCACAGCCTTTGCAACAGCAGATGAATATCATCTTGGTAATCTCTGTCATGACCTGACTTCACATGGATATGTTGAAATAACAAGTTTGCCTAGAGGTAGATTTTTGAAACATTAAATGCAATCTTGTATCTTGGGAAATAAAATAGGGGTGAGGGATATAATTTTTATAACTTTATGTATTCTTATTCTGATAATATCCTGGAATATATCATACTGCCTGTAAAATTATTGCTTTGCTTAAAGATTCTATTTGCCTAAAAATCCCCACAACAGAACCTTTCAGAATAGCAATATGAGCGGCTCTTGCTCTTACCCTTTGATAATTTTTCCCAACATAACAATTAATACCAGAAGTATAGAAAAATCATATGCATGCATGAAAAATAACTTTGGAAATTGACTGATACAGAGAATTTCTATAGACATTCACTAACTGTTGCTTTTTGCTTTTAATTAATCTTTCAATAGTGAGGTAGTGCAGTATCAAAACGATCTTATAATTTGAAGTGTTGAGTGTTGCATCTTCTTTCTGTACCCATATTTCTATTAATGTAAATCACAGAGTTGGAGAGGACAGCATTCAAGAGAGAGCTTTGCTGACTAAGTGAAATGAAAAAGATACACAAATAAATATTTAGTTCTAGTAAAGAGAATGCTGTTGATACTTTTTTATGGGGCCAAGTATATCCAAGAAATTGCTGAGTGCTTCACTTAGGTAGGCTTCAGCAAAATAATTGATTCTGGTTTCCATATAAAGTATCTCTGAAGACCTGGAAAGTATGGCTTGGAAATAGATGCAGTATATTACAAAAGAAAAACGAATGGATCTTATTATAGCTTAAGGAACCTTATGCTCTGGAACAGCTGTGATTTTCTTATGTCAGTAGTAGAATGCCTTTTCTTTCTTCCTTTGGAAGAACAGATTATATGAAGCTAGGAGGAGGACAGGCAGTTCATGGGCATTTCAGTAGGGCTTATGAAAAGCCTGTCTGCCTCTCAAATAATAATCTAAGTGCAGTAATACTCCAGTGGGTCTCTTTCAAGCATGAGATTTACTAATGATTGTCTTGTTCTGGAAGATGAACAGGAAAGACAATACCCACTAGAATATAGGCTTCATGTTCCTTTGTAATTTCTTTGTATTAAAACTAACCCTGGTTTCACAGCTTTGGGATAGAAACTTTGTACAACCCTCAGCATGACCATGAATTAAACATTAGTGTTGATGTTATTTTACGCTGGGAGTGTCGGTTTTGCCTGTTCCTTTTATTTCTTCATGGTGTTTTTGACTCATAATGAGTACTGTTTATCAAAGGTTTGGAGGAAGTAATGATGAAAGGATATTGGATTGTGCCAGCAGATCTGAAGTGTTGTGATGGTTGGCATGTGCATGTAGCAGTGGTTGGTTACAAAGCCAAACACTGAATCTGGGAAAATAATTTTCAAAAATATTACCACACAGAAATCTAAAACAGCAGTTACTGTGTGAATTTGTTGCTTTGTAGTGTTTTTCCAAAGCATTATTCTTGTTTTTGACCTCTTTAAAAACATTTTAGAGGCAGATCCTGCATTTCCACTTAAAGCAGACCAAATTCTCATCAGTTGTGTGTGTTTTGGCTGGAATGGATAAATAAAGACATGGCTGGTATTTGAAAAGGCAAATGAGAGCATGTAGGCAAATGTTACTTCCATGATGAAGTCAAACTTCACACCTAAAACTGCTCTATTTATTCATCCAATGTTTCTGAACTGGAATATCAAGTGGAAGAGAAGTCTTTTAAGGGATCATTCAGATCAACTGTGTGGTCCCAAACCATATATTAGCAAAAGTGTATCTGATACTTGGTCATGACTCTCTGCTGCCTCAGTCTACCTGGCCTCTATGGCCTGAGCACTAAAGCAGAAAGTAGAATTTGTACACAGGCAAAAGTAACAACACTTGGTACCCTGTCACTTGACTTGAGATTTTCCTGCAAAGGCATTTCAATTTTTAAGGCCTAGCTGTTAGGCCCTGCAAAATCTTTGTGAAGTCTCACTTTAACTAGAAGTAGGGGGCTTTTCTGGTCTAGCTTCCACTAGTGCTGCAACAAAAGGAGTCATGCTGGTTTGAAACCACATCAGGACTTCTAAAACTTTATCTGTATTAGTGAGTGGCACAGTGGAGAAGATTTATAGAGGAGAAATCAAACCCCTGTTTTGAAAACCCAGCAACCACATTCTGTAAGTTTGGGGGTATTCTACTTGGACTAGCTCTGGTCTAATCCTTTGTAACAAATGCCCCATTAGTGGTTGGAGTACCACAGGAGCATTTTTTGAGCTTTTCTTTCATTTTAATTTAATGCAAAACCTCTCATATTTTATGTACTGTTGTGCAGTGCACATCAGAAGGGTGGTAGAGGAGGGTGGGTGGAAGATCTTTTTCAAAAGCATACTTCTGATGTGCAGGGAAACGCAGGTGTAGGCTCTCCTGTCTTGGGGGTACACTGTTTCAAGTTTCTGACTGGCAAAGCAAAGTCAGCACAATTTGAGTGCAGATTAATACCTTAGTGTATAGAAAAGAAGAAGAGCTTCTGGGCAAACAGATTTGAATGGTAATTTCTCTGCAGCTGTGCACAACTTCCATAGTTGTCTCACATTGCATGTCCACTTCTGTATTCTGTTCCTGGTTATTTACAATGTCTGCATAGTTTTCTCCTAAGTCTTTTTGTTCTTCAAAGCTGCTACCTTTCATTAACTGAAGATTCTGGTGAAGTTCCCAGTAGAGGCCCATTTGGTCTAGAGTGTGAGAGTTTGGAGAAGCAGTGTAGTTCAATACAGTAGTTGGTCCCTGGCAAGCATTTCCATCAGAAAAATAAAATGTGGGACTGGCTAATGTATCCATATGCAACTGTTGAATTACACGCTTACAGTTATCATCTGACATGTTTAGAAGTTTGACTAATTACTAATTACTTTTTACACTATTTCAAACCAGATGCTGCAAATGTTTTGGTGGTCAGTACTGAGAAATCTGCAAAAGAGGATGATCCTGGCATTATTTTTTTCTTCAGGTAAGCTATAAATCATGCTCAAAACATTATGTTATTAACAGTAATGGTGTGAAGGAAATAGTACAGCTTGCTAGATCATTGTCTTATACTACCTCATGAAACTCAAGGAATAACTGTTCAGTCAGAATGATTAAAAGAAAAAAATCAGAATTATTTAAATGGTTAAAAAACATCTTCTCGTGGTTTTTCATTGAAGTATGCTTAAAAAGCAACTAGTATGTAATTTCTGTGAAGATAGTTTTAAGGTTTTTTTTATTCACAATGACAAAAGTTGCCACTGTACAATTTGAGTATTCCATTAAAATACATTTAAAAGAGTATGATTACACTCAGTTTTTCCTTGAATTCACAGGGAAGGGGCTGTTGTATTTTGGAATGTGGAAGAGACAAGTGTAAGTAAAGTGAAACTTGGTTAAAACTGCATAAGCAGGTGTTTTGTCAGTCTCACGAAGCTCAGCATGCTAGAGGTTTGTTTGGGAGATTGATCTTTCTATGAAGGAAAAAAAAGGATTGATTCTTCTCTAATGAGTGCAGGTTCTTGCCTGCTACTGCCCTCAAGTGTGTGGGCTGCTGATACATCACTTTTGAAACTCACCTACTTAAGACAAAAATCTGAAACCTTCATCTTGTGAGACTGACAAAAAAAAAAATCTTGCAGCTCTACATCCTGAAAAAGTAGATCAGAAAAATCTACTTGTGAATGACTGTTTGAAAAGCACTAATGTAATAAAAAAAACATTAGAAGAAAAGGGTCATTCTATTCTATTGCATTTTAAGTCAAGACTATTAAAGACTTATGTTTGTATAACTTTGAAAGAGAAAAAATAAGTATTAGGAACTCTTTAATACTGTTCAGTGTTTTTACCAGCCAGCAATTTTCCTGAAGGAAGATTTTATTGGTTGGTATAATTACTAAATATGCTGCTGACATATTATATTTTGCTGACCTAGAAGAGTATGCCAGAGGCATGTCTATTTTAATGAATATATTTATAGTTTTTTAATGTTTTAAATGCATTTTTATCACTGTGGTTGAACTGGATTCTAGATAGAGAAAGTATTGACCTTATCTGTAGGCAGAGTATGTGAAATTTAATGGTGTAAGATGCATAGAAATTCACAGGAGGATTTTCATTGGGGTAAATGAAAACACAGAGCAGTTGTTTACAGATGTGAACAATTTCTGGATTCAAGTTCACTTTTTGTTTCAGAACTGGAATGTTCCTGATTTCCTGTATGTTTTGGGCGGTGTCAGTGTATCAGGTGTCCTACAAAAAGATACCAGCTCTCCCTTCAAACCTTGCCTGTAGCACACTTAGGATGCTATGGCTGTAACTGCACTACTGATTCACAAGTATTACTGAAGAATGGCTGACTTAACTCCCGATGACCTTTGAGTTGGACACCTCAGCCCACCAGAGTAGTTTGAAAATTCTCCTTTTGTTGTACATGCTTAAATACCTTTGAAAATTTGATACCTTGTTTTCCTGGTCAATACTACTATCAGTAGTTGGTCCCTTGCTAGCTTTATTCATAAAAGAGGAGGAAAAATGCCTCTTTCTTCTTGTTGAAATCACAGTCAAACGACTTCCTCAAATAGAAGCAGTAGTTTTATGGATATGCTTTAATGAACTGAAATGAAAGGAGAAAAACCCTAAACTGGTCTGTAGAACAGAAACTGAAAGTAATTCAGTAAAACAGAATGTAGAGTATTGCTGGACAAAAGTACCCCAGAAAGACTAGTAGGAGAAAAAAAACCTATTTTAAATTAACAAACATTTAACTGTAACAGACTGATCACAAAAAGAAAATTAAAATACAAAATAGCAATTTCAAACACCTGAGTAGGAAGGTTACACAGCAGCTTCCTTACCAAAATAGCAAGGGCTAAAAGAAAAACCAGCTTTGAGGGTTTTTTTAAAAGGAAATTGTGTGACGTAAGTGCCCATAATAGCAAGAGTTTGCAGCTAGTGACTCCAGAACATCTCTTGTAATAAATTTTATTGTGTCACAACTAGTCCCTTCTATAAAATTAGGCTGGACCTAGAAGCAATGCAAGGTTTGCACTGCTGAACTGTCCCTGGACGCTGCTGTTTGGCAGAGGTGACTGGTCTCAGAGCAGACCTTCCTTTTTTGTCACAAGACTTGAATTTTTTGGCAAGTCTTAGTCATGCTAATACTGAATTGAGGATTATAAAAGAAGCAGTTTCAGCGGTATGGTTGAGGGGGGTTTTTTTTCAGTGAAAAATGTTACTGTGTTACCTAGATAGATAGTATCACCAAAATTCTTGAAAGCCGTGAAGAAAGCTAGCAGTGCAAAGAAAATCCTTCTTGCAGGTGATCCAACAGATTTTTTTAGAGTACTTACCCTGGAGAATATGCTTTATGAAAAATGTATAGGGTACAGTTTCGTGCTAAAAGATTTAACTATGATCTTTATTTTAAAAAGTGAGTGCGTTTTAAGTATGACTTTGTAGAAATTGAACTCTTTAAAGAATTTAGGCATCAAAAGTCTATTGTGGTTTTGTGGTTTGGTTTTTTACTGGCTGTTGGGTAGCTAAATGCCTTTTAAAAACTTGTAGGTGAGTGGTTTTTTTAGTTCAGAATTTTTTCTAATTGCAGAGGATTTTTTTGAGGGGAGCCTTGTAGCATATAAAAAGGAACAAGGATCCTAAGTCAGGTGTCAGAGGAGAAAGTTTTTGTGAGAGAAAAGGGCTCTTTTCTTCCTGCATCAGGTTTTAGTGTGCTGGAGAATAAAGGAGCAGTGAGATTACTTCTGCAAGTAAAATTGCACATTTAACTATTTACAGGGGTGAATGTGGCAGCGGAAACAATTTTTCCAGATTTTTATAGTGGTAAAGGGTTTCTGTAATATAACTGACCTCTGGTAGCTGAAATGACTACTGATTTCAGGAGCAATTAAAAACAAAACTACTGATTTAGCAGCAAACTAGTAATTTTATCAGAAACAACCACCTAATGTACTTCTAAAGATTGATTCCCACACTTGGACATCTGCCAAAATCTAGTACAGCTCATTGTTATAATACTGAATACACCCATGTTGTCCTTAGTGCTGCTGTGATTAATCCTTACCCTGTTCCATGTGTGCACATATAAAGTGACATTTCAGTTTTCCCAGATTCCTTGCAGTTGTTCATAGCTACAAATTCTTCTCAAACCACAACTAGTTTCAGAAGTAAATTATGTTAATAATAACTTCATTATTTATCACACCTCTTCATTGTTAGGTAAATAACTTCAGCATGAAGGTTGCATTCATCAGCCTGCCCTATGCAAGGTTTTTGCAGAGTACTAATTTACTGCATGGTAACTATTGCTGCAATTGTCTCCTTCTTAGATGAAGAATATCATGCGAGTGCTAGAGCAGCATGAAATTCAGCCATATGAAGTTGCACTGGTCCATTGGGAGAATGAAGAGCTGAATTATAGAATAGGGGAGTAAGTATCTTCAGGCATTCTGTATATAAAAGCTAACAGACACCTAAACCAAATTCAAGCAAAAATAATTCAGATAGTAAAAATATACTTGTCCTTACTTTTTTTCCAAACTAGTAAAATAAAAAAAAGAGAACAGTAAATCTTGAGTTGAAAATGTTGCTGTCTTGGTAAATTTGCAGGTAGTGGCCTTTGGGATTCGCTTATACAATAGATCTTGTAAATAAGAAGCTCCCTGCCCACACAACTCTTCAGCAATGCCAAATAGAAACTATGTATGTCACAGCAAAAAAACTAATGAGCATTATTGAGAGGAGTCTGATTTTAAAGAGGATGCTCTATACAAGCTTTCTCTGTGTATCCTTGAGGTTCATACACAAAGTTGTAATTTCTGCATGTACTTCATTTCCTAGTAAAGTTACAACTTGATTATTGTGTGATGATAAACCTGGCAAGTTAACTTTCCTTGTTAAATAAAGTTTTTTCATCATGAAAAGAAAATTATCTCTATAGAAATATTTCACAATGAAAATTATTATATAAATTACCTGTAATTTTCCAACAGCACCAGAAAGCAGCCCCTAGACAGGATACTGTTAATACTAGGAACTGAACTAATGAGGTTCAGCTTATTTTAGGTAACCGGATAAGGAGACAGGTGTTTGGTTTTTCCTCACCATTTGAAAACTGCATGTACTATTTAGTTGTACAATTTGTGATTCTTGACATGCTCCATTGTGCTTATGCATGTTTCATTGTGAGATTGACATGAAAAATTGAACAAGTCTTTTGTCACCTTTTCTTTGCTCCTTGCCCCCTATGCAATAGAGGTTTCAGGGAAAGTAACATCATAGTGAGGAGGGAGGGAAGGAGTAAGGTTGATAAGAGTGACAGCAGAAAATGACAACAGAAAAATTAACAGAGGAGCTAAAGAGTGGGAGAGAGGCCAGCAGCCTGCTTACTCTGAATTATCTGTGTGTATGCAGCAATGCTACAGTTACCATCACAGCTTGCTGCACTTGCATTTACACCTAGAAAATTTGGCCATAATACTTATTTTAGACTGAGGAACTAATTTTCAGTGATTTGTTGTGAACATCATCAAGTTGAACATGAATAAAATGCAAGGATGGGGATGATACCCATACAGATATGGCATGGTTTATCTAAATAAACAACCAGCCTTTCTTGCACTGTCGATTATTCTTTTATGTTCCTATACTAGTGGCTCGGTCAATGAAGGTGCTTCAATCTTGTCTTAACAGAGGTCAGTCAAAGCTCCATAAAGGACAAATCTTGTTAAATTCTGAGTTGGATAGTGATGAAGTTGTTCTGCAGAAATTTGCCTTTTCAAATGCTCTTTGTCTTTCTGGTAAGTTAATGTTGTTCATACTGTGTAGTCTATGCTACAGATTTTGTGAAATGTCATTATAAGTGGGACTTGTATAGTGACAGGCTGGAAAAGACTTGGTATCTGGTTTAGACAAACTGTGTAAAGAGTGATTGTGCTTCAGATTGAGAGGATTTTGTTTTCAATGCTTTTACTGTGTTTTCTGTAAATTGGAATTGCCTTTTTCAATGTAAACTATTTTAAAGCTGAACAAAGCATATTAACAAACATGCTTCGCAAAAGATACAGATTCTACTGAGCATCCTGTTCCCCACCCTTGAGAACTATCCTAGGGTAACAATGAGCATAGAGTTCAGTATTAGAAACCACTCAGTAATCTTGGGTAATTCATACTGATATCATTTCCTCTGACAGAAGCAGCTAGATGCCAGCTAAAGAAGTGATACAGAGCAGCTATTCCCAGCTGGGGAGGTGTATCAGTGACACATATGTGGACCAGAGTCACAGATAATGTTTGCAGGCTTATTAGCCATGGTAGCAGACAGTGGGAGGCACTGTGAAGCAGTCAGGCTCACCAGTCATGCTGCTGCTTGGGCAAGTAACACCTGCTTCAGACCTTGAATGATGTAGAAAGTGGGAGTTAAGAACTAGCAGCAGTAAGGTTGTCCTCAAAGCCTTTAAGGGAAGTCTGGTCTGTCTACCTCTACTGCCTTTAGGGCAAATTCCAGGATTACAGTAATATTTTGGGGAAGTGCACCTTTACACAGGAGAGAACCAGAATGCACATTTTTGAAGTGCTACACCATTCGATCAAGGAGTGCAGTGTAACTAAATGGTTCCTGACTGTTGAAGGAAGAGCTGTTGAGGAAAAAGCATATTGTTCTCTATAGTTTTCTTATTCATAAAGCCACTGTATGGAAGAGTAGCACTTCCTAAAAGCGAGCAAGGGATTTATTCCCAGGAGATAATGTTCAGAAAAAACAAAGGATGCAAGTATAGTCCTTCGATAGATTTATGAACAGCAGAAACCAACCTCTGTCAAATAACGGGTGACAGATGAAATGCTTACTGGCTGGTTTTTTTTTTCAGGGACTAATATAAGTCATTTAAGTCAGTGACTTGGATTAGGCCTCTGTATTCAAAAGATGAGTGTGCAAAATACTCAGCATTGGGTTTACTGGCAGTGTCCTAACCAGATTATACTATTGATTACTACCATAGAAGAGATCATTTTGACAATTAAATCTTCCCTGATTAATTTTTTCTGGTTGAATGGGGTTAACTTTTGATCTGTTACTACTTCATTCTTGTCTGGTAATCTGTGGACTAAAGAACAAACCCCAAGTTATATTATCATCTTGTAGAAACATTTTTCTAGGTTCAAGCTGAGGCATAGCAGAAGTTGTGTGGCCAATGCCAGTGCTGAACTCAGGCTTCCTTAGATCAGAAGTCAGTATCTTCAGTAACAGTACACTCACCTAAAAACAGGAGATTGCTCAAGTTTGAATTGAACTTCCAACAGGAACAGGTGGTGTATCTATACAAGCTAACTCTCTGTGGTTGGAGCAGTGCATCAATACTGCACTAATGGAGAATGAGAGCTGTGCAGGACACTGGAAGTGCAGTGGAGGCTCTTGAGGTACCACATGAAGTCAGCCTGATGCCAGCATAGCTCATTATCTCCAGCCTCCTTGGAATGTAGTTTGCAGAGGGCTCACACATCCAGTAGAGCACTTGGACACACAACTTCTGAGCTGAAGCAAAAAATCTCCAGGATCTGAACTGATCACTTGGAGAAGACAGCTGCGCTCATGGTGAAGCTGGTTCTGTGTGCAGAGCTGTGTCAGTGCCCAGCCCAAATCTGTCCACTGGTACATGAACAGTGATTATATAGTACAAACTGTAACTTGCTGCAAATAATGTCTGTAAGCATTGACATGTCCTGAAGCAGCCTGTTGGCAGATTTAATTACTTGAAAGCATTTGTACCTCTCACAATCATCTGCTTTGTCATCTCTGTGTTGCAGTAAAGCTGGCTATTTGGGAATCATTACTGGATAATTTTGTGGAATCTATCCAATCAATTCCTGAGGTGAGTTATTTGTAACTCTCTCGTCCTTTTCTCCTATACTTGTGAAAGATCAGTCCAGATTTAGCTGAGGAGAGGGAAGAAGCATTTGATGGTAAATCCATCAGTGTAGAGAAGCTCAGAACACCTGCAAAGTGGTTGGTCAAGAAATCACCAGCCTTTAAAGGGCTGGGGAGTGGGGTTCTGCATAGTAGTAGCATTTCCCATGTTATGCCACTGTCACTTGCTACTGGTGAAATGTACATGTAACAGGACAAGCAGCATTTAAAAACCTGGCCAAACACAGTGTGTGCTAACTTGGACTGAAAATAACGTGCTTTGACTTGAATATAATGAAGAGTTTGAGTGAATTACTTAGAAGTTTTTCATGGGACTTAATTACAGTAAAAGCCCATATGATGTTGTATATAAAAATTACATTTGTAGGTTTCAAAAGAGAAAACGTTGGGTTTATTACTTTTATATGAAGGAAATAAATGGTAAAACATTGATTGTTGTAAGGAGAAAGTCTGTAAAAAGGCTAAGGAGTGACAAGGTAAAAGAACACTGTCATGACTTTAAAATAAAAACAGCAGGAAGGAAAAACAAATGATCTCTTGTTCAGGAAATCATTTATAGAAAATGCCCCAGTATTTCTGTAGCTACTGATGACGTAGTCAGTGATTTATTGAGAAGCCTGGATGAACCAGTTGCACGGTGATATTCTTAGAAAGCTAGAGAAGCAAGGCACTAAGCAAAAAACCGTAAAATGTTAGTAAGTACAGTATGCATTTAGATTCTAAGATACTTCAGGCTGTAGAACTCTGGACTTTTTAACTCCTAGTATGTGTTACTTGATCAAGCAGTGAAGACTTCCTACTTTTCAGATTCTAAAGTCACGAAGGAAGATAAAACTCTCTCATGCAGATGTGATGCAGAAAATTGGAGAACTCTTTGCACTAAGGTAACTTTTTTGGTTACACCCAAGACATTGTATTAGAGAGAATGTAAAAATTACATTGTGCATGATACAAAGAGCAGAATACACACTAAATAGAGCAGAGTGAGATAGGGTGGGAGAATTCCCTCTTTTGACTGAAGACTGTGTGCTATTTACATTAGTAAGGGGAACCACTGGCTCACCACTCACACTGGCATTTCAGCTGCAGCCATTAAGAGGCAGTATATCATAAATGACCAAATACCACCCCCTTTTCCCTTCCTGAGTCCAGCAACATGTCTCTTAACTAGTAATTATGGTAGATACTAAAGCATGTAAAGGATACCAGGAGACAGGTGGGTAGGTAAAACTGCTAACTACAACCTAGAGTTGGTAAAAATCTTTTGTGATTTCTGTTCTTCCCTTGACTTACTCAGAAACCACTGCTAAGTTACTGGATGCAATATTTTTTCCTGCCTCAAGTGAAATTTGGCCTTTGACAATACAACTATTAAACACTTAAAAAAAAAAAAAAAAATAAAAAAGGAAAAAATGCAATTTCTATTTCAAACGCTGAGGTTTATATCCTTACTTGAAGGACTGATCACTAATCAGCAATGACGTTCCAAGTATCCAAAGGTTTATGACAGCAATATGAGGAAGGCACAAGATGTTAGGTTTTAGCTTTTATGAAGCTTACACCATAGCCTGATTCTGAGGGGTGTCCTGTCCTCACACATCCAGCATGCAGTACCAGTCACATTTAGGAGTTCTGTATTTTTATTTTGTGTACTGCTACAGTGAGCTGCTGGCATGGTCAGGGACCTTTCTACAGGTATTGAAAATTAAGGAAGGCGACAGGTTGAGGAGGCAGTATTGGCATAAGGCAAAAGTCACTTATGTTCAAAACAGTTCCACAGTAGAGTACTCCCAGAAAAGTTTCAGGAGATATGACCAATTTTAAATAATCACTCCAATTGTATTTTTACTATGAAAGGAGATTCTTTTCATATTCTATGTAGAATTACAGGAAAATTTTCTTACTTCATTTAACTGCATGTAAATATTGGCTCATATTCACCAAGAGGAAGCCTGAACTACAGTAGTACCCATTCTTTTTAGACACCGTATAAATCTGAGCTCAGACCTGCTAATAACACCGGACTTCTACTGGGATAGAGAAAAACTGGAAGAGCTTTATGACAAGACTTGCCAGTTTCTCAACATTAATCGCAGAGTTAAGGTGAGTGTTTTATTGTGAGAACCTTCCACACTCACATCAATTGTCTTTAGCTCAGCAGGGTCACAAATTGCTCCATGAATGTGCTTTAATTGCAGAAAGGAAATAAATAATACGATTTTATACACTCTCCCTATTCTCTAAGTGTTCTTAGCCCACTCACACCTTTACCTGGTTTAAGTTAACCTGCCTCACATGAATGGTTTATTTCCTGAGCCACTAAATTAGGCTTTAAATAGTTAGAAGAACTGAGAAGTGGATTCTTCTTACTGACGTGGTAATTCATGTCAGTTCTTGAAGGGTGACATAAAGTTTACTGCTGAACCAGAGTAAGTAGCACCAAAACTACCTTGCCTGGTGGTACAGCAATCATAAATATTTAATTTTGAGGCATTCCAGAAAGCTGTATCTACTTTTGCTTGTGACTGTTTTCATGAGTAGGTATCGCCCAGAAACACTTCAATACCTGTATATGCATATCAAAATTCATATTCTTTTGGGGAACCTATTGAAATAACAGGTCCATTTATACTGAAGCTTGTTGCTTCTGCATTTTGTCTTAAGAGAATTTTCTGTTCTTAATTTTCTGTTCTATTTTGCATAGGTGTTAACCCCTTTCTAGTTCTGTAGAGTGTGTTTCCCTGTTCAGTGATCTGATTCCATTTCTTGAGTCCAGATTTGTGATGTTTGTAATTGCTTGCAGGTAATGAATGAAAAGCTCCAGCACTGCATGGAGCTGACAGACCTAATGCGAAATCACCTGAATGAAAAGCACGCGCTGCGTCTTGAGTGGATGATAGTAATACTAATCACCATAGAGGTTGGTGGGGCTTTTTTTCCAGTATTAAGAACACAATAACAAACATTTTCTGCACTTCATAATTTGAGAATTAAGATTACTGCATTAATGTGATGTACATGGGGAATTAGTATTTGTTCTTTGCAACTTTCAAATGGTAGCTACAGTTACTTTTCAGATTACCTGATTTATAGTGTAAACTGGTTTAATGGTTTTTAAATAAAATAAAAATTCTTATCAGTGTGTTTGCTGTTCCACAGGTTCTGTTTGAACTTGCAAGGGTAGTTTTCTGATGACAGAACTCAGGAAGAAGAAAACAGACAAAACAATAGAGAACACAAGACCTGAAAAATTCCGATCATACACTTCTGGAGAATCATGAAATTGTGTATCTTGATAAATCTTTAAATATTCTACTCAAATAAAAAAAAATAAAAATCAGTCTGTGAACATTATTCCCAACCACTGTACTAATAATGTTAGAGAGGGCCTAACTTATGGATGAATCTCATCCATGCTGACTGTTTTTGGTGAAGGACTCTACTGCTTTCTCCCGTAACACTTAAAATGATGCTGAATACTTTGCTACTTTGTGTATTTCTGATTATGTTTTCCCTCATGTTTACCAGCTCATTCTTGGAGAGCTGCGACACTGTCCCAAGCTTGGAGATGGCATTACTATTTGTTCTCCTGGCATGATTTTAATTTATGTGGCAGATATATTTAATACTACATTCCATCCCACCAGAAAGTGGTGTTTATATACCTGTATGGGAATACATTTATTGAGATGCAGTACTATTTACATAATTTTTTTACATTTAGTATTCACAAAGAAGGGGGATTAGTTGATCTCAGAGGTCACAGGGACCTGTAGCAAAATAGTAAACTAAAGAAATATTTACAGAATTTCTCTGTCCACCTTACCATGCTATCTGATTTTTATCAGTATAAGTTGCAAGGAGTGACTTAGCATTAGAGTAAGATGTCTTAAATATCCTCTAAGGTAAAAGTTTCTTCTTTTTCATTTTTAATCTATTCCTAATCTACAGAGTTTTACTTACTCAAGAGGATGCACAGATTTTTTTTCTTACAACTTCTTTTGCTAAATATATTTTCAGAAACTGGTACACAACTGCTGTTTTATCACCTGTTTCACTTTAGTTCACTGTATTCAATAAGGAATGGAACCTAAAGTTTCTGTTAAAAGCTCTTCTCCTGGAGCATCATTAACAAGCCATGATGACTAAATTCTGGCTGAAAATGCAACTACAGTTGCAGTAGCTTACTGTTCTCTCTTCACCTGAGAGTATTATTTCTGAGTGCAGTACTGGACTCCTGCTGAATACATCAAACAGACATAATGGAGAAAATAAAGTCAGGCATAGCTAGCAGAAACGTCTGACTGCAAACCCATCCTTTTACCACAAATTACAATGCACTGCCATGGGTGCCTCTGCTGCTCCTAAGAGTAGGCTTTCTCCATTGGAATCAGAACATATTCTAACCGGAGGTCTTGGTTCTGGAATAGCCCTTGCTCAGGGAAGTGAACTGGTCAGAACAGCTCGGTGACAAAGACTTGTCACTGCGGAACTGCTCTGCATCAGTAGCCTGACTTGCACAGCATTGTTAAATAACAGAATATTACATCGTTTATGCAGCACGAAAACTTACAAGCACCACTTAATTCCAATAGCAGAAAATTAGTTTACAATTTAATTATCATTTTTCCAGCAAATATTTTTCAGGCTTCTCCCTTCCCCCACTCTGAGGCAATACTTACGCTCAAGGACATTAGTTCCCATTCATCTCACATTTAATGTTTCAGTATTTCAGTTAAATTGCTAAAATATAAATATGCAGACCAACTGCATCACTAAGAAAAGTGGTTTTAACAAAGTCATTGGAGGACTCCTAAATGCTCTCTAAAAGCATGAAGTGCCCAGTCTTGATTATCTGAAGTATTCTGTCTCAGGACTGTAAGAGTTACCAAGACCTCAAAACAAAAGAAGCACATTTACTTTTGAAATTGTAAATCAGTTTATCTTGGCACAAATCACAGGCATAAAGTCATACTGTGCTCCTTGTCAAGCCCCCAACCCTGCTTACTCCATTGATTGAGTGGCTAGTCACAGTTTAAAAAAAAACGCAAAAGCTTCAGTTAAGCCATAACAGACCTTTAAAACTTTGGTTTTTTCATGGTGTATACACTGACAGCTGCATCCAAGCCTGAGGGGTTTTTGTTTTAGCAGCTAACTCTATAGAGAATCCTCTTGCTATATTACACATAGAGAACCAAGCTGGGAATTGAGTGCACCAAGAAGGTAACTTGAGCTTTCACAGCACAATATACCAGGGAATAGAGCCCTCTGTGACCACACAGCACGTGGGAAATTCTCCCTGCTCGCAGTCCCTGTTTCTTCAAGCCAGAGATCCCTTAGGGAGCCTGTGCACATGTACACATGGCCTGATCAGGAAAAAGTTTTATGGCAGGGGCAGGATGAGACTCAAGCTCATCAGAAGCAACATTAAATTGCCTTATTTGTGAGAACACACCCATCTTTTGCCTGCCTCACCCACCACATGCTCTCCTGGTGTAGCTGAAAACAACCTTCATCACTACAGTTAGCACATTTTGAGTCTTTACCAAAATGGGTACTCTAACCAGTAAGGGTCACAGGAGGAAAAAAAAAGGAAGATGTAATAGCAATAAATACAGAATATGCAAGGAAGACCACAGAGGAATCCTAAAATATCCAGAACTCAGAAATTTTAACCTTTTTAACAAAATTAAGACTTAACGGTAAAAATCTCTTCATATGGAGCCTTGTTACATCATTTGTTACAAGGATCCCAATTGTGCAAACTGCTTTTATGTGTGGTTTTTCTGTCAGGTAAGGTAAAGGATAACTTATACATGATTTTCTTTGGCAGATCTGCTGGGAAGTTGTCACAAGAGTAGCTATTTGCAAAGCAGCAAGGAATGCTGAGAGCTGTGACTCAATTCCAGACCTGTTTTTCTGGGGTGACAGCACTCATGAGTAGAGTCAATCCCTGCTCTCTGCTGCACTGTTCACATCAGCTCTGCTTTCTGGATGGATACACACACATCCCTGGAGCTCTGTCACTGAGACCTGCTTCCTCTGGAATACCTTACCTGTGTGGATATTAAAAATGCAGGGAACCACTGCAGTTTGAATCCTTTTTTTTCTAAGGAAAACAACATGCAAGTACATACATTACTGTAACTTTATAGTCAAGTTTCACTAAAAATGTCACTCCAGCCAAGAGGACATTGTCACATTTGAACTTCACCTGTTAAAAGTGGGCATGGTTAATTTCGGACTAAGCCAAAGGCACTAAATGGATGGCTAATGCAAGAACTGTGTTAGTTGGGTTACACTAAAAATTCCTGACAGAGATGAGTCTCCTAACAAGAAAAACTATACACACAGTTGAACCATTTCCTTAAATGACATACATTGTACTGACAAAAGGATGGTTATAGTTATTTCCCCTGGTCTATACTGCAGCTACTCAACTAGTTTTGTTCACTAGGTGTAGAAACAATTCTGGTGTCTATTTGTCCGATACCAGAAAACCAGCTTAGCCTACAGAACAACAAAGATCCATTTCTTCATCTTTTTACCTCATACAACCCACACAAAAGGTGGCTCACACACCATGGATCTCCTTCACCTCTCAGACCACCAGCCCTACTGGCAACAAAACTGAAAGCTCAGATCTCCTTGGGGATCACTATCACCTATCACAAACATACCCCACCAGCAAGGCAAGGAGAAGCACGGAAGCCAAGGCAAGAAAAAGCAGAGCCATTCCACTATTGCTGCTGGGCCCTTATATCAGTTTTCCCAGGGGTCACTTCAACATTCCTACAATGCTGTTTGAAAGACAGGTGAGACTTGGACAACTGTGTGCACAGTTCTAACAAGGGGAGGACAGAGTGCTGGATGAAAAGCTTGGAGACTCTCAGAGGTACAATGTTCTAGCAAGAAGCTACTGCAGCTGTCACATTTGCCACCAAGCCTTCTTGCCAGCATAAATCAAAAGTGCAAGTGTTAGAAATGGCAGCTGTGCTAATAAAAGATTTATAGCATTGACATAAACTCATGTTTTACTACAGTTGTACCTATGTGAAATAGGGTCTCACACCTTTGGGGAACAGTTCCCACATTGCCTAGGACATGCAACTCCCAGATCCCCGTGGTTTCCACTCCTCTAGGAGTGCATCAGCAGTGTTACAGGGAGCAGTGAGCAAAGAGCTCTCCAGAACAGCGACTATGGTCTCTTACTTTTCAAAAATGATGAGAAATTTGAAAACTCACAAAATCTTAGCACTTTGAGCCTAATTAACATCACTAGAGCTGTTGAGGTTTTGACTATAGCAATAAAAAAATCTGCTATTCCACTCCAGATTTCAACTGAACTCATCCAAGAAGATATGCTTACAGGACTTGAGACTGGATCAAGTTCCTCCCACTGCTCAAGTGACTTTTTACTCAGATTAGCAGACACTTCCGTCATCCTATTAACACTTACATCATCAGCAGTATGCTCATTTACAATGTAAAATACAATCTTATCAGACAAAATGCTGCCTCTAATCCAAGTACATGCAGACCAAAGTAAACCCCAAAAGCTAGGGACTGAGCCTGTCATCAACATCATCACACCTAGAATGTGCTCAGATGTGTGTAGCACTATCTCAAATAGTCTGAACAGTCCTTTCAGAAAGTCATAAAAGTGGGAAAGAAATCCTAATCAAGTACCTCTAGAAACTCAGGAGAAAAAACCAAGCACGTCAAAACTAAAAGCATAGTAATGCCATTTAATGAGACATGGATAAATTTTTATTACAATTTCAGGTGCATGGATTGTAACCTAAAAAACAAACAAACCCAAAACTCTGTAGAAGAGATAAAAGTAATATTTTAGATTCACATGGTAAGTTGGGTGTCCCAAATGCATCAGGTGAATGCTTATCACTCCCTGCGACACAGGTGACGTCTCAGGTGTCAGTCAGTACTGAAGGTCTGAAGTTTGGCAACTTTACACTCAACACAGCCCTCTTTCTACAGATTCCAACAAGATTAGAAACTGCATTATTGCTGGATTCAAGTATTGCAGTCCAAAAAAAGGTGATTTGAAGCTGAATTATGAGCTGTTAATAATACAAATAAACCATAGCTAAGTTAATTTTTCTCCAGTTTCAGAGACAGCACAGAGGAAAATCCCACATGAATGCCAACACACAAGTAAGCAAGTGCAGCACAAAATAGAAAAAGAGGCCAAAAAGCCTGCCAGATATCTGACAGAAACACACTGGTTTTCCTAAGTAGACCACTCAATTAAATTAAAAATTATATCACTTTTTCAGTATCTACCAGGAGAATGAGACAGATCATCAAACACTGACTTCAGCTCAAAAGCCCATGTACTCTCTTTACTTTGTATTTAGTTTCCAAAACTGAAGTGCAAGGGCAACCATTGAGGGGAAAAAATTGCCAAGTAGACTGGTTAAATACACTCTATAAACTTTCTGCCACATGCTCACATAACAGAACTCAGAGAATTGTGCTGAACTACAATGGACATGTTTTTAAAATCTCAGCTATTCAAGATGGGTCTTAAAGGTTAAGTTCTGTTCAGCTGCTTTATTCTAAGTATTGGAACAGCAGCAGACGGTCAGCTTTCAGCTTCATTGAAATAAAAAGTTGCTGGGTTTTGGGGTTGGTTTGTTGGGTTTTTTTAAGACTTCACTAGTCTCAAAAACTTGCACTTTTCCAATACAGTTTAACTTGGGTAAATAAATTAATATTCATGAACTATTTGATGCAAAGACTCAAGCTGTGCCTATCAAGACATCCATTAATTTCAGTGGGAGACGGCTTAGTCAAACTCACATAAAACTGGTCTAATCCTTTATCAATTTAGATCCTGTAAAAGGATCTAAATAGCCTGCGATGGCTGCAATCATCTGTGCAAGATACAAGATTCCTCCTCCCCAACAGCACACCTGCTGTCAAGACGCGAAGTTCAAAGTTTGGGCCTTTTTTTCCATAGTGTATCTTATTTAATTACCATGGAAACAACATCCTGGGTACAGCTAGGCCCCTTAAATAAGTACCTTAAAAAAGGTAATAATCATCTGTACCTAATTCAGACAGTTGGCATTGGAGCATATGCTGTTCCCCATGAACAACAAAAAGCACACTGGAGAACAGCAGGAGCAGGGCTCTAGGGCAGGGGGTGCAAAGGAACCCCCTTTAACTATTTCTGCCCAAACAACTTCCCATAAGGTCTTCAATGATGACAACATTTCTCTCTGAAAATGCCATTGCTCTGCTTAGCAGATGTATTTGGGCTGTCCCTGGACTGATTCCCTGCCTGGAGAAATCACATCCAATCCAAGGGCCTCCCGGATTCTTGTAGAAGACAGCATCCCTGCTCCATGCTAACAGCTCTGACTTAATAACTTCTGCAATACTGACAATTTTTTCCATGTATCATGGACATACATGTGTTTCCAGGTACATACCAACATGTCTGTTGGTGCATTTCTTTATGCAGTTTTATAAGCAACCACGGGATTATTCTACAGCAGAGGCCTTGCTACAGCCACCTTCCCTCCACACTCCACCACAAACAGATCTGCCACTGTGGGAAGTTGCAGATGTGATTTTCACATATGGCAGCTGTATCATCCCTTAAAAAGGCAAGTTAAGATTACCCACTTCAAATAACCTGCGTCCAGCTGAACAGACCGCAAGCAGACCCAACCTTTCCACTTTTGTACGCTGAATCACTCCTTTTGACAACTGAACTTCTAACCTCCCATCTGACAGTTCAGCCACGGCGTGCCCAGGGCAGTTTCACAGAGACCGGTCCCACGCCGCCCCTTCCCGGCGCACCGGACCGAGACTTGCTATAAATGACACCTGGAGAGCAGCCAGGGTGACGCGGAGGAGGGCACCAGCTCTCATAGTTGGCCCGGAACACCGCGTCCCGCCGCTGCCGGCCCGTCCCCATCTCCCACATCCCCGGCGACTCCGCGGGGAGCGCAGGGACGCACCTGCGCCCGCCACTCCTCCCCGGCAGCGAGCGCCAGGGCAGCACCCGCCGGCACCCATCCATCCATCCATCCCTCCTCCAAGCACCGCCCGGCGGGAGCCGCTCGGTGCCCCCCGGCGGCGGCACCGAGCAGCCGCTGCCGCCACGGCGAGGCCGGACGGGCGCCGGGAAGCCGGCAGCGGGCGCGGCACCGCACGGCACAGTACCACCCCATCCCATCCCATCGCATCCCGGCCCCGCACGCCGCCACGATCCCCGTTATCCCGCAGCTCTGGATGCGGAGGGGGGTGCAGGGGGGCCACACCGGCCTCCGCCGCCCGGGAGTTTTAAAGGGACAGCGCGCCTCGCTAGGACGGGAGCAGCGGCTTCGCTCCGAGGGCGCCCGCAGGGCGGGAGGGCCGCTCCCGTTCCCGGTGGTGGGGCGGGCGCGGAGGGAGGGGCGGGGGCTGGGTGTCTCCCGCTGCCGCCACAGCGCTCGCCGCCTCCCCTCCCCCACGGCGGGGGCTCCTCGCCGCAGCCTCTGTGCTCCGCTCCCGGTCATGTGACCCGAACGTAACCGGACAGGAAAAGCCGCCGCCGCCGCCGCCGCGCTGACTCCGTTGTTGCTGCTGCCGGGCGCGGAGACGGCGGCGGCCCCCGCGCGGCGCCACCCGGCGGCCCCCACGCCCCCCAGGTGAGCGAGCACCGGCCGCGCCGCGCCCGCCCCGCGGGGCAGCCCGGCCCCGCCGCCCGCACGTGCGCCCGGCCCCGTCGCGCCGGCCGCGGCCCGGGCTGAGGCGGCGGCGGCGGGGGCGCGGCGGGGCCTGCTCGGCCCTACCTCCGCATTGTGTGCGAGGGGCGCCCCGAGCCCCGCCGGGTCCGAGCGGGCCGAGGGGGCGCGGGGCGGGAGGTGGAACTGCCCGGTGAATCCCCGCCGGGCCGGGCCGGGCCGGACTCGGCCGGGCGGCTCCATCCGGGACACGGTACGGGGGGGGGGATGGGTGAGCACCGAGGAGAGGGCCGGACCGAGCCGGAGGGGAGTGGGTGGGTCGCGGAGAGGGAGGGAGAGAGGGAGAGGGCCGGGGGGGCCGGTGCCGCCCGGCGCGGGGATCGGCTCGGCTCGGCTCGGCTCGGCCGGTTGAGGCCCGCGCTCCCTCCCTCCCGCCCCCTTCGGCGGCGGCGGCGGCGGCAGCAGCAGCAGCAGCGGGATCCGGCGCGCGCGGGGCGGGGCGGCCCCGCCTGTCCCCCGTCCCCCCCCTCGGCGGGTTGGGATGGGCCGGCCCTGGCGGCGGCGGCGGCGGCTCTTCCCGTCTCGCGCGCCCTGGCGGCTCCGCTCGCGCTCCGTCTCGCGCGCCGTCTCCGTCCCGTCCGTGCGCGCGTGGCGTGCGCGGGGGGGGGGGCGGCGGGAGGGGCCAGCGGGAGGAGGGCGGGGCGGGGCGCAGCCAGTGAGAACGGCGCGCGGCCGCCCGGCCTTCCGCCCCGGCGGCCAATGGGAGCGCGCCGTCCGCTCCCGCACTGGGGCCGGGCGTGCTCCGGGCATGGAGCGGGCGCGCGGCCGGACACGCCCCCGGCCCGGACAAGGCGGGAGAGCCCCGGCGGGGGGTGGGAGGCAGGGAAGGGGCGCCCTCCCGTCCCTTCCCGGCGGGCAGGGCAGGGCCGGGCCGGGCCGGGGCCCATCACGGGTCCCATCACGGGTCCCCGCCCGCCGCGCCGGGTGAAGGCGAAGGCCGAACGTGCGGCTGCCGCCGCTGCGGGAGGTGCGGCGCGTCTGTGAGCGGTCGGGGCCGGGCCGGTGCCCCCTGTCGTCGGAGCCGGAGCAGCGCCGCGGGCTCGGTGCTGTCGAGGTTCGGTGCCCGGGGTGCGAGGGGCAGACCGGGAAGCGCCGTGCCCGACCTGTTCCCTGCCAGCCCGGTTGGCCCCCGTGCCCCGCGCACTCCCGCGGTGTGGTACCGGCGCTTCCCCGGTGTTACCCTGGGCTTGTGCCGCCCCTTTTTCCCTGCGGGGGCTCCGAAGCGAGCACCCTTCCCGAACGGGCTCGCCCCCGCGTGGCTTCTCACCCAGCGCTGAACAGATTGGGTAATCTCCAAAGCCGCGGCAGAGCGGGGCCGGGCCGGGGGAGGACTGTCCCCACGGGTTTCAGGGCACAAGTATTTCACACACTTGTTGAATCGGTCAGCGTTGAAACAGCCTTGCTGGTGTTAATCACCATTTTATTTAGCTAAGGGTAAAATTCCTGAGCACACGCATTGCTATAATATAGAAAGTGCTTTCTTCGCTCTTTTCATCTGCCCTGTCATTACCTCAGAGTGTAATTACTGTAGTGCTAGTGCATTTAAATATCATCCAGATACATGCAAAACACAATGTTGTTCACATGTATCATTTTTTAAAAGATCAATTCAGGTCTCTAAGGAAGGGCTTGCTGTTTGGGGTAAGAGTGTAACTCCAAACTAAACACACTAAAGACGGTAATAACTAGAAAATAATGCTTGTCTGGCTTGGAGTGCCCTCACATCGGTGGTTTGCTCTGCTCGGCAAGTTTTGTTGTCCAAGTGCAAACCAGACTGAATTTAAAAACTGTAGAACACATTAATAATCTAAATAAAGGTTAAAAAAAATCAACAAAAAACTGTATTTTCTGTAACATCACTTGCATGGGGCATCTTGCAGAATTAGATAACACCAAGCATGATTTTTGTTCCGTCTGACAGCAAGTATTCCCTCTTGTGGAGAGAGGGAGAGAAACACACCATATTATATGTACAAACTTAGTTATCCAAACATCAGTTTAGGGAGTAGAATATGTATGTAAAGAGAGCTGAAACCTAACTTCTTTTTCTCTTATTAACTGTAAGAAAATAGTCAGCTATATCTTACACTGTATTTCTTTCTTTGTTTTTACACCCCTGTCTCCACTGAGTTCTGATCTCATGCAAATGGAAAGGAATGCATTTGGTCAGCCTGGTTATTGCTTTAAGTACGAGGGAATTCTTCCCTGTCCAGCAAGTAGAAATACTTGCTTCTCCTGTGACTAAACATACTGGCATATATGGAATACACTTCTGTTCTCTTTCCCAAAAAGCCATGCTCTTACTTTATAAAAGAAACTAGCTGCTTGAACCTGACTTAAAATTTTGATAACTTGCTGTTAAGTTTAGAGGGGAAAACACCCAAGACTTTTTATAAACCTTTTGGTCCACTTCTAGTTTCACATTCTCTTTCTGTTCTCTTCTGTTCTGGGCATTACATGGCCAGGAATTTTGTTGGCTTCTCTAGTTGTTTTATATGTTTATGTACACACTGCTTCATACTTTCACTTTTTTTTGCCCAAAGCTCTATTTGCTTTGATTAGATTTGTTTCCACACTGATCTTACTAGCCCTATATCCATCCATCCATCCATCTATCCATCCATCCATCCATCCATCCATCCATCCATCCCTCCATCCAACCAACCAGCCATGGGTAACTGTCCTAATGTGTTTTCCTGTCTGTTTTTTTTCCCCAAAGTTACCAATTTTTGCTTCCAAGACTGTCCTTGAAGCCTTGGGAAAAAGTTTATAGCTCTTAGGTAGTTCTCTGTGGGCAGCCTCCAGCAGCTGCTACAAGGAGGTGCCCAGCAGGAGGGTGAGGGGCTGTGGAAGCCCTGGCTTAGGGAGGCTCAGGTCAGTGCCACATTTCACTGTTTGTTATCCTGCCTGGTGCCAATGGCTAGCCATGGACAGAACTGCACCTCTCACCCTTTGAGTTTCTTGATTTGCTAGGTAGACATGAAATGCTGTTGTGGCTGGTCTCAATAACTACTAAGTTACTAGGGGAAAAGATTGGCCCCTCCTGTATTGATAGTCCAGAGGGCTTGCCAATACCTCGAATGAATTCACTGTTTGAGCCTGGGAAGATTCAAGTATGTATCTGGTATTTCCCAAGAGAGAGATAAGCATCACAAATATTTGGTTTTTTAATGTTGGGCTTGGATTCAGCTGGGTAGACCCATAACTTTTAGGGAAAAATATACAGAGACGCTGAAAATCCAGGTTAAAAGTATCTAACTTGTCTTTTATTGGTTTGTATCACTCCTACCAGTGTAGGTGAGACTGACATCAGAAAGGAAAATCAGTTTTCCTATTTGAGCACACAAGTGGCAACCAAAACATTTTCCCACTCTGTATAGATGTTTTTACTACTTGTTAATATATCTTCCTCTTCCTTAGCTATTTATATTTCTGTATCCAAGTACCCCCACCATGCCTTTTCAGAACACTTTAGCCCTGGCTCCCCTTTGCTCTTTAAGCCTTGGCAAATTACTTATACCTTTGTGAATGGCATTGCCCATCATGAAAGAGAAATCCTTGCCTCTGTGTAAGGTATCTTTTATTCAGTAACTTGGGATTAAGATGTGATATTAAAGTATGGCATCTGAATATTGGAGAAAATATCTGTTAAGAGACAGCTACTGTTGCATCTGTGCATCTACTGTTAAGTTTTACATGAAAGTCATTTGCTTTTCAGAGTGTAAAAAAATGGATTTGGCCAACCATGGACTTATTCTGCTGCAGCAGCTAAATGCTCAGAGAGAGTTTGGTTTCCTGTGTGACTGCACAGTTGCCATTGGGGATGTCTACTTCAAGGCACACAAATCTGTCCTCGCTTCTTTCTCCAACTACTTCAAGATGTTGTTTGTTCATCAAACCAGGTAACTCTAAAAAGGTTCACCATTTAAATGTTGTTCAGTTAACTAAGCTAAAGAAGCCTAGCAACAAAATGTTCTTTTTGCTTCTTGTTGGGACATAAAGAGCGTGGAATCCAGTCTTAACTGCAAACTAGAACCTCACTTAAAAACATGTTAAAGTTGAACTGTGATTCATTAATGCTAATTTTATAATGTAGCACAAGTTCTTTATCCTTAAAAAAGCATAGAAAATTGAATTTCTACAATTGAATACTTCAAGGATCCTCTCTTTTCTCAGTCACTTTCCTTCCCCCACTCACTATCTTCTACTCTGTCATGACACTGTTCTTGACATTTGTGTAATGTTATATATAATCCAATAAGTACTTGCTGGGAGGTTGTGAGAAATAAACTTACGAAAGAGGTGTGTTTCATTTTTTTCCAGTTTATCGTCAATTAAATAATAAAATACAACATAATGGTGGAAAATAAGGGGGTTTGTGGTACTTTTCTTTCCGTGGGTTTTTGTTGTTTTGATTTTTTTTTTTTGTACCACAGGCTTATATTGAGGAGATTGAAAAGATCACCAAAGTGTTAGACCACTTTAAAGATTTTTTTGTCTTTTTCCAAAATATTTGAACTAACTCACAAAGTTCAGGTGAAGTGATTCACACTTAACTCTTTGGCTAAGAGTTCTTAGCCAGAAATGAACTGCTATGTCAGAAGTGCATTTGCACTTCTGAGACAGGATTGCAGGCAGATGTTATCAGTCTTGATGCTCCATCAAGAACACACAGTTATCTTTGGAAGATAGCATTGCAAAGTTTATTTTTGAGTCATATATCTAAACTCAGAAGTAGTCCCAGAGAGAGCTCAAGAATGGTGCACCTCAAGAAATGGAAGAATTTACTATAATTTTCTCCTCAGCTTGGTAGCCTACTGCATTTAGAGCATTCAGACCATAGCATGCAATCATGTCCATTTCTGAATTTTTGTGGTTTATTTATGTCTGTTTTTAATAGAGGAGCTGCAAATACTTACGAAAAATAATTAGAATCCCGGTTCCTCTCCTGTTAGCTAACTGACCTCACAAAGATGTTCCCTGTTTTGTCGTCTTCTGTGAACCTTGCCTTACTTTCTGCACAGAGACACAGCTTTAGCTAGAGCAGTGGTAGCTGTCTCAGTCCAGAGCAACCAGTAAAGGTTGATACAGAGGGCACACTCTGAGCTGGAGGGTGGTGTTGGTTTCAGTCCTGCTGGGCTGAAGAGGGCATCACAGCCAGAGCATCTCCTTTTGAGTGCTCTAATCAAGGGACTGCTAGGCTGACCAGGCAGTCCACTGGTGCTGCTCTATCTCCCTCCCTATTTAAGGACAAAAGCTGCTGTTCTGCTGTGTAAGGAACCTGGACTCCACGGGTTACCCCTCTTGCGTCAGATCCCCAGGGGGATTCACAGCCTGTCCTGCATGGTTTCTGGATCATAGTGCACTTGGGACAATGTGATACCACACATTTGCAGACCTGTAGCTGTAAACCCTAGTAGGACATAGAAGCCCAGCAGGCAAGTGCCAGATGAATTTTAAGTGTTTTCCGGGCTAAATACTGAGAAGAGTTTATTGGATTGTGAATTTAGAGTCCCGTGCTAGCAGGTTTTAATTTAGCTACAGATGTGTTTGAATCCAGCCAAGAAAAAGGGGGAAATGTCTGCAGTTTACAAAATATATTAATATGTGACAACACATTTACAACATAACAGCAGTTTAAAATGGTATAGATTGCAATGGGACAGCTTTTGTTTCAAGCCAGTTACTTCATTGAGGAAAGAAGTCATCTTTCAAGTGGCTCCTAAAATTAGCTCTTTTATAGTAAAGCATTTCCCTTAATATTTATTGCAGATTCTATCTTTTGAATTTAAGTAGAAACCTCCTATTTTTATCAAAGCTTGAATAACCTAGAACTGGAAAAAAATATTTTCCTTCTGTCTTATTTATAATTTTGTTTCACCTTTCAGTGAATGTGTCCGTTTGAAAGCGACTGACATACAGCCAGATATCTTCAGTTATCTCTTGCATTTGATGTACACTGGGAAGATGGCACCACAACTCATTGACCCAGTTCGACTAGAACAGGGAATAAAGTTTCTGCATGCATATCCACTAATTCAAGAGGCCAGCCTTGCAAGTCAGGGAACCTTTTCTCACCCCGATCAAGTCTTTCCATTAGCATCTTCATTATATGGCATTCAGATTGCAGATCACCAGATAAGACATCCCACTAAGGTTACGTCAGCAGCCGACAAACTTGGGCGAGAACCACGGCCTCAGACATCGCGGATGAACCAAGAGCAGGCTTCTGAAGGCTCACAGCTCTCGCAGTTGGGTGCGAATCTGCCACAAGTGACCCGGACAAGTATGTCTGCTTCTGACCCACTGCCATCTTCTCTATCTCCAGAATTGGTATCTGCTGCTGGTAATAATTCACCTTCAGGAGAAGAGGCCAATATGGAAGCATCTTCTTCAGATGAACAGCCTGCCTCTCTCACAATAGCACATGTCAAGCCAAGCATTATGAAAAGGAATGGAAGCTTCCCAAAATACTATGCCTGTCACCTCTGCGGTCGCCGGTTCAACCTGCGCAGCAGTTTGCGGGAGCACCTGCAGATCCACACGGGAGTTCCCTTCACATCTAGCCAGCAGGGAGAAAGTAATATTTCTTTGTCTCTCTGTAACAACACAGCTGATAAAGATGCCATGGAAGTGCCTGAAGCAGGGATGATTAGTGACAGCGAGCTGCAGCAGATCTCAGACTCCCCAATAATTGATGGGCAGCAGCAGTCAGAGACACCTCCCCCCTCCGATATCGCAGACATTGACAATCTGGAGCAGGCAGATCAAGAGAGGGAGGTAAAGAGACGGAAATACGAATGTTCCATCTGTGGTCGCAAATTTATTCAGAAAAGCCACTGGAGGGAGCACATGTACATACACACGGGCAAGCCCTTCAAATGCAGCACTTGTGACAAAAGCTTTTGTAGGGCTAACCAGGCTGCCAGACACGTGTGCCTAAACCAGAGCATGGACACATACACGATGGTGGATAAACAGACTCTGGAGCTCTGTACTTTTGAGGAAGGCAGTCAAATGGACAACATGTTAGTACAGACCAACAAGCCCTACAAATGTAACTTGTGTGACAAAACTTTTTCAACTCCCAATGAAGTAGTCAAACATTCGTGCCAAAATCAAAACTCTGTCTTTACACTAGAGGAAGATCGCTCCATTCTGTTAGGTGGTGGGGACACAGAAGCCACAGAGACTGATAACGCAGTGTTAGCCTCCATCAAAAAGGAGCAGGAAGCAGTGTTGTTAGACTGAATGTGAAACCTATATCAATTTTTTAAAGTTTCTTTACTCATTTTTTATTAAATCAATTTTTTCCTCCCCCTACCTCTTACCTCACTTACCCCTGCCATCTTTTCCAGCAACCTCCTTCCCACCTTTTGTCTTCAGCAACCAGAACTGTACTGGCACATTAGGAAATTGGACTTTGCCTCTCCCACCAAAACAAACAAAAAAGCTCTTGCATCAAACCACAACAAAATTGATTTTAATACAAAGGAACATGTGAAAAAGCAATCCAGCTAACTATGTTGATAGTATTAGTTATTCCAAATTTAATAGATTTTAAACAAAATTTAGATTGTTTAAAAGTGGATTTAGATACAATGATGAGTGTAACAAGAAACAGAGTATCAGTTTCGTAAGCAAAGGATATATGTATTTTAGTTTCCCTGGTAGAAGGCATTTTGAGATCTGGCAGATTAAACACCATGCTCTCTACAAGTCCGCATGCACGTTGATTAAGGTTATAACCTAAGTCCTCAGAACTTTTCTCAAGGAATGCAAAAATCTCTGTTTATTGAGTTAAAAAGAGCTGAGGGTGTTGGTTTTCTTTTAGCTGTATGTTTTCCTTCAAGTATGCCTTTGGGTATCTGTTGCAGAGTCAGGCAAAGTCGTTACTTAGTCAAATTTTGATTAAGTAGCTGTAATAGTAATGTGATGGCAATCTTTATATATATATATATATAAAAATACTGTATATGTATAAAGATTTATATATATATAAAGTGTCTGTGTGTATATTTGGTACAGGTAAATAAATGCACACATCCTTTTTAAGTAACTGGCCGTCTACTCTCAGATTCAGCCTGGAATGTCTTTTAGTTGTTTGACAAAGTTAGTCATTGCACAGGTTACTTTTAACCAAATTTGAAAGGTCCTGAGCTGTGTGCATTTTTATTGACCTGTTGAAGAGAAGCCAATAGGTAAGTGTTGTCACCCAAGCTACCAAGGAAACTAGAGAAGTGGCATACTGGTGAGCACTGCACCATCATTAGTGCAGCACATGCATGTGTTGTTAGCCATATAGAGGTTTGAGTCACTCTGGATGAAAGGAGAGAGAAAAGCTTTATTCCCTTACTCAGGCAAGGAATGTCCATGATTTCATTTGGTCTAATGGCATGAGTTAAGAGGTAGGAAAAGCAGTGTTCTAGCAACAGGGGATCATGGTTGTTTTAAAATGAATCTGTAGTGCTGGCTGGGAAATTCTGCTCTATGAGAGTCCTGTTATTTTGAAAGCCAAGACAAAGCCTGCAAAAACTGAAAGGGTGAATTCTGTAGTTTTAGTTACTGCTGATGGTAGTACTGCATCTTTGTGTTAAAAATCAAGTTGTTGAATTTTATTATTTTATATAGATGCCCAGATTTTTTGCTGGTAGCCTAAAAGCCAAAACTGACAGCAGCAGTGAAGCTCACTGAGCAATTACTGGGCCAACAGAAGGTGTAAGTGGACAGAAAAAGTGCCCCATCATAAATGGAGACAGTGTGTGTTTGGGGGGAGGGGTGGGAGAGGGCAAGTCACAAACCACAGCTCTTCTCTGTGTATACGTTTAAACTGAATATCATCTTTTTGTGTATAGTTAAGTTCTCAGATTTGTAAGTTTTTATACATCATTCATTGAATAAAAACTGAATTAAATGGGATATGATTTATTGAGTTGAAGGTGAAAGGTTGTTGGTATTCGGTCTTCCTGGATGAGCTCTTGCTGAATCGGTTTAAAAGCCAAGCAATGTATTCTGTTTATCAGACTAAAACCTCCATCACACAGGTGAACAATGAGCTTACTAAGAGTGGATTTAGCACAAAAAGTCTCAATGTACTAGATTTTTTTCCCAGTTTATTATAATGTGACCATTATTGTAAAGTTTATTGTAACTGATATTGATTTTATTATCTCTCTTGTATTAGAGTAATAGGTTTTAAATCAATTGACTTCAAAGTATAGAAGTCTTTTGAGGTACAAAAATAACATTTTACAGAATTATTTTAGTGCTGCCCATTTTAAAACTTCTTTAGGATCTTCGTCTACCAGTATAGTTTCCTTAAATGTGGGTTTTATTTCATCTTTCTTAGTCCAAAATGCTCTCAAGAGTAGAAAAACAAAAGAATAAAGCTTTTCTAGTTCAGGATAATGTCAGCTTTGGAGGTATCTGTGGTTTAGGGGATAGTCACAAGTTCATTTCCAAAATGACTGAAGCTGCTAAAGGTGCTACCACCTCAGCTGTTAGTTACTGCTTAGATTTTTTTTTTTTTTTTTTTTTTTTTAATTCCAGAGCTCCAGTTCTGCTCTAGGGCAAAAAGTACAACAGTTCAACTCCCCAGGTGGCTGTTTGTGTCAGGGTGCACATGGCCACACCATTTATTGTGAGACATTATTCTTGCTCTCACCTCTCCTTCTACACTGTTTGGACATCATGATGTTTGCTAACTTACAAATTAAATGGACTCAAGCAAATAACAACCAGTCTTTAAAAAATGTTATTTTTCTGTCAAACCTGTTCCTTATTTTAGCTCTGCAGAAGGTTTTGAATAACTCACAGATTGTGCAAAGACGGAGATGAGCCGGGAAGAGCCTCACTGAAGCCAGTGTTGCTGCTGGCAACATCCAGGATGTAGAAGATGGGAAGTGGTGACTCCCAGTTGGGCAGGTAGCTCCTCTGGAGGGCAGTGTGGCCTTGCAGGCCGGTGTGCTGCCCAGCAAGAAGGAGCAGGGTAGGGCAGGGAGCAAGCAGCCATGGAAGTCATGGAAGGAGTTGGTTATGACTGTCCTGCTGTTACAAGGAACGTGAAATTGCAGGCTCAGCAGAGATACTTTCACCTGTTGATATTTATTCTTGAAATAACTGTCGGGTAAAGAGAAAAAAAAACACAATAAAGAGACTTTTAATATGTGTTGAGCTATGATAATGGTTTCTTTTAAATACCCTTTATTATCTGATGCTCCACAGGGATGTTAACTCATTGCCTTTCAACTTCATAAGCAGTTTTGTTCCTTTGGATTGAATTAGAAACAGCATATTCTGGTTGTTAACAGCTGCATCAAGAATTTGGGAAATTGCAGCACAAATGCAGGTTTTTTCCAAGCTTATTTCTTTAAACCCTCTGAATTATTATTACAGTCAGAGACAACTTCAGGGTTTATATTCCTGTGTTTGACTTGGAGATTTGTGACTGAGTTGCTCATTGATCATTCACTGCTCACTTGCTGAAGCTGTGAATTTTCTACCAAATGAAAGCAGACATCTTGACAGGAACTGTCAGTGAAAATCTGCCATCATTCAAGGCCGTGGGCTGGAACCTCAGCCCCATGTTTTTCCGAAGGAGTATCTTCAAAGTTAATTTCCTAGGCATGTCACTTGACATCTCTGCCTTGACTTAAAAAGTACCAAACACCTACAAATCTCTCTGCTCCAACAGAGGAGTATCCCTTCTGAAAGTGAAGTTTGCAGTCCATTTCTGTCAATATTTTTGTATCGTTACTTCTCCTTCACTGGTCTGATAATCATTCCGCTTCAGCAGGGGGAGAATTTATCAGAAGACACTCGTGTTGCAAACACTGAATACCTAAAATTGTGTACCTGTTTACACTGCAGAGCCTTCAGTTGCTGTCTTGATTATTTAGAAAATCTGGCTGGCTCTTCAGCTCCAAATCCCATAAAATAATAGCCTCAGTCATAAAAAAGTTGTCACTTGCAAGAGAAAAAAATATATTTATTTCATGCTGTTTACTTTAAATAACTTATTTGACATTGGAACACCTTTTACATTAATTAAAGGAGACCTGGTCAGACTTGAGCAAGTGCTATGGTGCCTGGTGGCATCACAATCTCTCAATGTTTTTTTCCCAATCTGCCTAACAGCAGGATTACCTTCCTTGGGTATTTTGCCTTTTTGGAGAGTAATATAGTTCTTTAGATATCTTCATCCCAAGCACTTAAAGATCAAATTGATTAATCCTTAACCAAGTTAGTTTTCCTTGATTATATTTCCACACCTTTAAATCTTAAAAAGTAAACACAAATAAGGGAAGTAATTTTGCAGTTCTGTCATTGAATCGTATTTATTGCTTCCCAAAAGTCAGTAAATGTTTTAAGGTACTTCATAGCTATGAATAATTAGAAGTAATCATGTTACTTTAAAAAAATAAAATTTAATACCAATTACATTCCTACTTCAACACTGTAAATGTGACACTGTTAATTACAGAAGCATACTTTGGTTTATGAAATCTAGGTGACAGACTACCATTTGTGATGGAGGCTGGCTGTTACTCTACCTGAGACAGAGTGTTTCCATTTCTAGAGCTCGTTTCATTTGTTTTCCTTTGTAGAAATTCCCAATGCCACTGGGTATCCCATGCATACCAAAAGTAGAACAAAACAGAAAGAAGCAAGAAGTTCTTTTGCAACACCCTTTCTTAGTGTGTATTTGCCAAATGATCTGTGATCATCTCTAGAAATTAGAAAAACTCACTGTCCTTAAATATGGGCTTCTATCAAGCCTGCTATTAAGAAGGACATATTTAGATTAAATTGAGCCAAAACCACATAACACATTTCCTCTGCAGTACAGCCCTGGTGCTGTGATGTTGCTGCATCCATGCTTTTGAACAGGCCACATGTGCCAAGATGCAAGAGCTCAGTGTGGCCTCAGAGGGGCTGACAATGACTGTCATCATTCCTTGAGGTGCAGGTGTCTTAGCCCTTGTGCCAAAGGAGCTGCCAGCAGGACTTCCTCATATTCAGTCCATGCCTATTGCCTTGGCCAAAACTGAATGTTCCTTCCTGGAACATTAGGAAATCTGCTCAGGAGGGAGAGAAGCAGAGCCACAAAATGAAAGTTAACACAAATGTTCAGTTATTGTAGTGCTCTGTGGACTGTGGAGGAGGTACCCGGCACTCCAGCATGCCTCGGCACAGATCCACAGCCTGTACCCAACCTGCTGACAGTGTCAGGACTCATTTTGAAGCAGCTCATATGCTTTTTGAGGGAGCTTTCTGATCAATCCATTGTTTCCTTATATCCTTAATCTCTCAACGACACGGTTAAAGCATTTTCTATTTTGTTACTACTGTGTTGTGCAGTTCCAGTTTCAGCAGTGAATTATTTTGCATATTGCTATTGTTTATTTGGGTCTCTCAAATTCACAGAACAATGTACTCTGTCAATCAAGCTTTATTTCATGAGCTTATTAGGTAAAAATCAAACCAGGGTTCAATTCCCTTTTGACAAACTAGTCTGACCTTTCAATTTTCTAATGTGTTGCTTCAACAATTCACACGTTCATTAACTCAGGAACTGACTAAAGCTCATGGTTATGAGCAAGAGAGCTGCCTGGCTGAGGGTGAGGGTGCTCATCCCTCTTTTACATCACACTGTAGGCATCCCCTCTGTCACTCCAGGAAGCAGGAGAGCCTCAGCAGTCTGGCTTCTGCTACATCTGCTGCCAAAGGCTTTTTGGGTAAGCTGGTGTATTCCTGCCTCCCAGCTCGGAAGCCTGGTCTACACCTTTCCTGTGGCTCACTCTGAAGACTTTCAGGCTCACCAGAAGCTGCTGAGCAGTCACGGCCGCTGTTCCTGCAGTCCTGCAGCCAGGGGCACTTCTGCCGGCACGGCCGGGCCTTGGCAGGGGCTGTGCCTTGGGCAGCAGCGAGCAGGAGCCAAGCCAGCAGTGCTCTGGGCCTGGGCCCTGGTTCTGCTGCTGCCCTCTCATCTCCTGACTTGAGTCAGTGTGGCAGCAGGTACAGCAGCGATCTAGAGCTCTGCTGCAAGCACAGCACGAGATAAGGACAAGCACAGGCTCCTGGGCAGCCCTGAATATGGACACCGGCCACAGCCTCTCTGTTGGTGCTATGCTGCCAGGATGAACTTCCCATCCCAGCAGGAGCAGGACATTTCTGAGTTTCCTATAGAGGGGTAAAGTCAGGTCCTTCCACCCCAAAGGCAGTGCTTGAAGGATGTGAAGGGAAATAGTCACTCAAAGCATGTGATTGGCAGCTGATGAGGAAAGGAAGGCGATGGCCCATTGCCAAACCAGCACTACTCCAGCTGCTGGTACACAGTTGTCCACAGACAGATATATACACAGAATATACAGTAATAGTTGTTCAAGAATAATAATCTTATTCTTTTATATGTTTGCATTCTTGTGCAGAATTAAATTTTTTAAATCTCATTTTGATGCACTATTGTGATATTGATAACAGAATGGGACTCAGAACAGGTCCTGATTTGTGCTGAATCTGCAGTTTTGAAGAACTGAAAAAGAAGATATGTAGAAACTTCATCCTTGTTCACTGAGTTCATTAGCATTCAAAATTTTCATGCCCTTTTTAATAAAACTAGTGTGATAATTCATTTTAAAAAGTACTACAGGCATGACTTGAAGGATTTAAGTGTTGCTGTGCTTCACTCTTCTGCCATATAGGAAATGTCTCAGATCAAAGGGCCACAATGTCACCAGTTTTTCCTATCTGCTGCAAGTGAAGCAAAAGCAAAAATCAGCAGAAGGAATCAGCTGAAATACGGATCAGATTTCATCTGTGTGCAGCGCTGTGCTGCACAGAGTGGAAAGCTAACGTGGTGACACAGCAGCTCAAACTAAGTGGGGAGAGTCTGCAAGAACTGAGCAGTTACTCAGG